CGATTGCATGCTTTCAAGGAGAGTACTATACGCTCCGCATTTCGCAAGACAGGAATCTTCCCATTCAATCCACAAGTAGTACTTCAATGTTTGGAAGCTCGTCAAGCCACGACACCCACACCTCCTCCCAATTCAGGACCACACTCCTCACCTTTCGAGACACCATTGACTCTACGACAAATAAACAAGGTAGCGGACAAATTAGATCTCGTCCTTGAAGACGATAAAAGCCTGGATCCCGACTTTTCTCACGATCTCAGTCGATTTATTCGAGGATCGCTATCTCTGGCGACTGAGCTCGTGCAGACTAAAAGGGACTTGGGACGAACCAAAATGGCGGAGCGGATCCAAAACAACGTAAGGCTATGAAGAATATACAGTTACAATCAGGAGGAGTATTGTCAGTGGCCCAAGGACGGGAAATGGTGCAACAAAGGGGAGATGATCAGATTGCTAAAGCAAGGAAGGTAGTAGAAGACGCGGAGAAAAAGGCGCATAACGCACGCAAGCGATGGTTTGAGGAAGCAGCAAAAAAGGCACGCCAATGGAGGTTCAGGAAGGTTAGAACGAGTGGAAGTACGCGATTCTGAGCGTGGTACGCGGTGGTTGAAGCGATTCTAGGTCGGGGAGTCGAAATTCTGGGTATTCCGGTGGTGTGGGGATACTGGTGGTGAGCACCAACTTTAGGAGGTGGGAGCTTGCGAATTCCAAATAAAGTGGGGCGTGGCACGGGTACTAAGCATTCCGCGCCAGACAATGTCACACTCTCCATTGTACTTCGTAAGTCGCTGCCCCTCGATCGGCTGGGGTGGACAGTCAGCGAGGCGCATGAGGACGTGCGCATGAGGACGTGTAGTTATTTGAGACGCCGAAATGCATATCCAACCGTCACCTGTCCAAATATCCGTGAAGGCTGCAAGGGCTGCGCCATGGTTTGCATGCGTCTCGAGTGATTGGAGCCGCTGGAGCAATTCTTCCAGCTCTTCCCCCCAACTCTCTATGACTTGTTAATTTCGCATTTCTCGTTCTCTTACACGCTCACAGATATTCTACTTGGAGACGCTTATTTTTACCATCCTTTCCCCGTTCATTAGTCAAGGAGGGCGGCCCCAAACAAGCTTGCAAGCCAAATGTCAACCCTCGCGGTAAGTGACATCAACCCAGGTGATACCGTAAACTGGAACGGCCTTAACTAACAGCAGAGTCCCTTTCTCTTTCTCTGCTCTAGCGCGAGAACAAATTAGCCCGAATTCGAGACAACCAGAAGAGATCGCGCGCCCGACGGAGAGAGTATGTCCAGGACCTCAAACGGCGACTCAGAGAATACGAGACTCAGGGCATCGAGGCCTCTACCGAGGTCCAGATGGCCGCGAGAAGAGTAGCCGAGGAGAACAAGCAGCTCCAGGAGCTCCTCAACAGGCATGGCATTAGCGACGACCAAATAACCCGTTTCTTGCAGTCGGGCACCTTGCCACTTGATTCCAACCAAGGCAACCCTTTCACGCCGACGACCCTAGTGCCGCTGTCCAGTCGCTACAACGGCTCCTGATGCCGCGACAACTGGCCAGTCTAGATGAAGACTTCTCCCTATATTTGTCGGGACAGTCGATTCGGAACCCCTCCACCACCGAGGGGTCGACGACAAGTTCGTCCGTCTGGGAGCCGTCGCAGCTCGTGACGTCCTCGTACGGCTATCAACATCACATGGGCGTGGCTACTGCAGTCATGGCATCGGCTGTTCATTCTCCGTATCCACCGACAACCCCATTGAGTCGCGCGAGCACCACGCGACAAGGCTGCGTCTATGGCGGGCAACCGTCCCCGTCGATGCACGACAGTCCCGGCCAAGCCATGGTAACAACACAGCCTACGTCTACTGGCGGCCGTACGGTAATGCACTTGCATTATTCTGTGCCGACTTATCCAAACGCAGTGGTACCGCATTATGATTCCCTAGGAGCACCTGCTGACACGCGTTGACGAGGGCCTGCAGGGCGTATCGCCGATTCCATTGGTTGTTTTAAATATATATTGAAGATTGGCACTGTTGGCCATGCCCTTACCGATTCACTAAAGCTTTTTGATATCCTTCTGTCTGTGGACCAGGGAAGCCCCGTTAGGGAGGACCTGGAAAAGGGATTCCTGGCCTCTGTAGCAGTAACGCATCAGGACTTCCTGAGTAAGGAAAGCTACCCCTTTATGCGTGGGCACAGCCAAGTATGCACGGGTAGAGCCCCATACTCAGGAGGTCTCCAGAACTCCCTAAGGCCTCCTGTATAAATAGCCCCTTCAGACTGCCCCTTTAGAGATAGAACATGCATCTTGAATCTAGCTGTGGTGACCCCCTTTTTCCGATGTGTATTGACACAACATTTCACCAACACCGTCATATAAGAGTAGAACAGACTTCCCGATTCCCTGTCGAGCTTCATTGTAGCCCCTGATGTGAGCTCCAGCAAATCATCTCGTGAGTCACAGCAGTGCGACTCTAGCCGTCTAGTGGCATCTATCTGCCCGGTTTACTCATGCGCCTTCCTCCTCTGTCGGAACTGTGATCTACTAGTGCTTGGCTGATGCCTGCAAGCCGCCCCTAAGAGAGAATGCCTAGCAATTGGCCTTACTCTTTGGCCACCCTTCCATCAGATAATGCTCATCCTTGGCTGGAACACCGTCAGATTCTGCATCTATGCGCCGGTCATCCGACTCATCCCCTCTCTAACGTCATCAGCAAGCCAACTACCAAGCAAGAGTAGGGACAGACTTCCAAAGTGATTAGGTGGTCTTAGGTCAGACTAGCCCACAGGATCCCCGTAGTGAGGGTCAGGGGGTGGACCTGAGGCAGGTTCACCCCCTGATCTCTACTCCCTCAGCTTAGTCCGAAGCAGGGCAATACATATTGAAGTAACGGAAAGTGGCGAGGCTTGCAGGAGGCTGCCTGCGTGGCAAGGGCAGGATGCTCACGTCGGGATTAACAGCTTCAAGGAGCGGGTCAAGTTGGTGAACAGGTGGTTGCACGACGTGATGGTCACATTGCGTCTCCAATCTGCAAGGCATGGTCGGTCGCATCTCGGAGAGGATTCGTAGGAAGGAAGGTCGGCCCCAGGATCGTGCCCGGGGAAGCCGGTATGACCAGAGGGCGGTCTGAGGGGCGGTCTCGACTCGGGCTAGAGCCGGCGTAGCTACCCGCTCCGTGGTGTCGTTGGCTGGGATATTTAACGCCGGGGAGAAGGGGGTGTAGGGGGAAAGTTTGCAATGGAGGGGGCGTGGGAGAGGTGCAAGACGACGATGAGGCCGGATTCTGGCCACTTGATGCACCTCATATTGCCTTGTTGCTCTAGCCTGTAGCATCAGCGAGATATACTGTATCCTGCACGGCTGAATGAAAGAGACGTGCAAAGAGGCTGGGAAGGCGAAATTGACAGGGAAGGATGGGTGCGACGGGAACCGCGATGCCCATATCGGCACAACGGGAGTAAGTAGTACCTCAATGAGACATGCGTTGCATTTGGGACAAGAACTGGGCGTAATGGTTGGAGTTGTTGGTTACCTCCAATCATCCAGCCAGCCCCTGACGACCGTGACGCGCGCACTGCAATACAACCGTGGTTCTCTCCAAGTCAGGGAAGCTTTGCATCGCCAGCTCTGTTCTCATCCACTCGCCATCGATCACAGGCTTCATTTCCCGCCTCCATTATTTCCAAATTTCACTCTACTATGTGCTCTATTTTTTGAGCAAAATATGACAACATGGCACGACAAGGACGGCGACAACAAAACGACGGAAGAAAGCCAAAGCGGACGCGGAGCAAATCTTCTCGAATTAGGGCCCCCGGGAAGACTACAGCCACCTCTAGATGTGCTGATGGTCTATTCGACGAGGACATGGACGTTCAAGACGGACTTCCGCCTTGCCATGGTCCGAAGTTGCATCCCCTCTGCACTCGCCAACGCATCGATCACCTGGAAAGATATGCTCGATGACCACTTGGAACCATATTCGGGCCACTCTGAGATCATGGCACATGTTTTCAAGGTTGAGATCGAGTCTAAGCACTACGCTTTGAAGGTGGTAAGTAGTGGTGAGGAGCTGTGGCAGCTCGAGAGGTTAACTATGCCTTAGTTTATGCCGTACGATATTTAGTATGACTACCACCAATTTTACACTGCGGGTATCCGCTGCACTGAAGAAGAGTTGGAATGGCATGTTATGCCCTTTTACTCAGAATGCCGCGCATACGGTCGAATCAAGCAGGCGCAAGACAGGCGATTACTGCCGCATCAAGTTGCAGTTCCATGCCACGGCTTTATTTCCACTTGGAGGAAAAGACATCCGAAAACTGGAGGATGAGTGGAACCTTGATTTCAGTGTTGAACAGGACAACGCCCTAGAAACACCAATCCGTCCGATCTATGCCATTGTTGAAGATCTTGCAAGTGCAGGTTCCGGGTCAGTGTCAAAAGCTTGCCGCGCAACCTACGAGATCTGCGATCTTTACACTCGATGGGGATATTTGTCCGTGATATAAAGGAAGATAACTATAGAGATGGGAAGCTTGTTGATTTCGGAACTGCTTGGACTGAACCGCACGTTATATTGAACCACTACGATAGGTGTATGCATTTTGATGCGGTGGAGGAGAGGGTGGGGGATTTGGCGATGTTTGATGATATGGCCAACGGGCAACGGCATCGCTAACCTTCGCAAGGTCAGCGCCATGAAGAACCGGGACTACTGTCATAAGTTGCCCAGTCGTCTAAAGGATTCGGACGAGTTTAAAAGCCTATAGCGGCGTGTAACAAGCATTGGGCCGGCTATGCTTTTTATCAATGTCGTGAAGGACGATGACTTGAGAAGCGAATCTTGCTTAGGTGCAAGGTCGGAAGGCATGGCTTCCCGCAGTCGCAGGAGGAGCCTATTCCGCACCACCTGTCGAAGGCGCCCTGTATGTCCATCATGATCAACGTGGCAATATCGCCCTGGTCGTGAAGCAATGCTAACGCTAGGTCGAGCGCTGAGCATTTGGGCAGGCCACCGCGTGCTGGCTGTGGATGGCCCTTTGCGTGATCGCGACCCAGGCCAGACGGCGGGCTATCAGACGCTCGAGTCCTTGCCGAGGCAGGCCAGGAGGAGATGGGCCTCCAGCCTCTTGGGCAGATAAGTCCCTCCTGCCCGGTTTGGGGATCATCACTACCTCCGCCAGGCGGTAGCAGACCGGGTGGTGGCCCTGGTGTATGCAGCCCTTATACAATTCCCTCACCGCTTCGCCGATGTGGCTCCAGATCCGACGCAACATCCGAACTGTGATGCCGTCGACTCCCGGGGAGATGTTTCCAGTGGAAGTGCACGAGTGAGCCGCGTCGGCGAGCACGACGCTGCAGTCGAGGGTCCTCTGCCGGACCTCCGGCGCCTAGGGGTCCGTGATGTCGTCTGCAGTCACGCGCCTCTCCAGGATCTCTGTCCGAAGCACGTTTGCCTTCTCCGTCTGGGTCTCATAGAACGTTTTGTGAGTTGTGACGGTCACGGACTGAGCCAGAAGGCTGTGGACTCTATTACGAAGATTCTACTCTGAAGAAGAGAAAGGAGAACAGAACAATACAGCCGGGTGTCCTCTCCCTAAATATGTCTTCCGTACGTGTGGGCCGTGGCTTAACAACATGTGGGTCATGTACGCAAACGGGGTGTGACGGTGCTCAACGAAAGCCGTCACACGTTTCGCCTACTTGTATAGGCGGCCTGAACGGACTCGCCTTCTCGGCCACCGCATGATATTGCATACATCATCGTCACTCTCGGCGCCTTCCAGAACCATATTGACTTGCTGATATTGCTGAGAACCGATATTCCTTACGGCGTACTTTTCGATCTTGGTGAGCCGCACGAGTTGGCCGTGTGAGCGCCTGGGTCTGGCAGGGTACTCCTTATGGTCGGTCTGTCGGAAAGGGTTCGGCGCAGTTCGCGCACCTCTGCGGGTGCTTGCAGTCGTTATCACGGTGGTCTTTCCCGCCACATCGTCGGCGGGCCTGCTTTCGGTCGCAGGCGTAGCGGGAGTGGTGATCCCAATCTTGGCGATCAGTCGGGCTAGTCGGCTGGTGCCCAAGAGCCGCCACCTCCTCTGTATCGCCGCCTCGAAGGACACAGTCATCGTCACAGTAGGCTGGTCGCGACGGAGCGTTCGGAGTGTCTCTTAGCAACATGGAGCATCAATTGGTTCGGCGCCTGTCTGGGGCTTGATCCCTTCTTTGATAGCTTGGCCAGTCCACGGCGGCCCCCCAGATATCCGTGAGCTGCCTCGGGCAGTCAGCCACAGCGTAAGTGTGCCACTTCTGGAAGCCTTCAACCGCTCCGAGGCGGGCCGGGCCGCCCAGTCGTCCTGCCGTTCCACAAGCAGGTCCCTCGCCTCCCGGTCTGAGGCCCGAATAGCCCATCCAGTCTTCACCCGGGCGATCTGTGGCATGCGTTCTATCCCTAGGTTGAGAGTCTTAGCTACGTGAGCTCTGATGGCATGTCCCTGGTAGCCCCATGCTGGGGGAGTAACGAAACATGCACGGACGATTTCGAATCATGCACGGAGACTTAAACCCCATTTGGAAGAGGGACCCGCCCACAACAATTTGGCGCGCGCCTCCCAACGCCGTGGCCGCCTCGTCGCGCCTACCACTGGCACCGAATAGTGGCTGCTTTACGCTTAGCCTTCCCGGAAGTCTTGCTGTTTGCAACGTTAACGACGTAGCCTTGATCTTGCTGATCATTCCGAAGTGCCTCAAGAGCCTCGGAATATGTGCAAAAAAGTGTGTCCTGGATAGATATAGGCTCAGGGCCTGAGCCCTCGATCGTAGTCATCGTGGCGGCGGCGGCGGCGGCGGCGTTGGCTACAGTGGCCGCGGCAGCCATCGCGTTGGGAACGCGCGCGCCAAATTGTTGTGGGCGGGTCCCTCTTCCAAATGGGGTTTAAGTCTCCGTGCATGATTCGAAATCGTCCGTGCATGTTTCGTTACTCGAATCAATGTGTAGGTATTCAATTAGATTCCGCCTCCTCCGAACTTTTTCTTGTCTTTGCCCCTGACGACATGGGCGGGGAAAAAAAATTTGCGGCCTAATCTTACCTCCGCAAAGCCCAAGCTTTTCCCAGAAGAGTCTAGCTGCGTTGGCAGAGTCACGGTACTTTACAACTCGGGAACGGCGCGAGGCTATTTGCATGTGACTTATGTAATTCTTGTGCGCAGTCCGGCGGCTGATCGCAGTCCAGTTCCCGAACAGCAACTACGGGAGGGCACTATTGGCTAAAAGGTGACCAAGGAGAGCCTTGAGCAATGGGGGGAGAAATTGCACGCGAACATTGAGTATTGAATGGGTCTGTGAGCTGCCCGGCTAGAGGTAGACAAACGAAGGGAACATATTGGAGCTAAACTTTAAAGAGAGGCATTTAAACCGAATAGGCAGCCTTCGAAACTCGTCACCCTCCGGTAGGGTTGCTGTTGCTGATATACCATCTACCTTCTCAGTTGATAGGGTCCATGTACCCTTGCAGCATGGTCACTGTGCTCTCCTCCACGATTCCCTCACTCACAAGACGCCATAACACCCTTATCACCCAACCCTGACAGTTCTCTGTTACTGCGGCCCGATTCACAGCGCGCGGCGCCGGCTCTGCGCGGGCCACACGGTCTACCCTTGCAAACTGGGAGTCGCTGAGGCTTGCGTTCAGAACTTGGTGCCAGGCAAAGGACGCAGAGTTTAAGATGTCAGTATTTGAAGCGTGCTGGTGTCGCATAAGCTCTGCGTCACCTTTGACCTGCCCAGACTTGCAAATAGATAAATCAAATCAAATCCGGGGTCCAATTTGATTTGATTTGGATAGCAAAATCATGGATCTGATTTGATTTGATTTGATTTGAATCGATTTGGATCTCATTTGGATATCTGGATAGCCCCACTTTTTTCCCACGACAAAATACATTGAGCCGCTCCTATAAGGTCCGCTTTGATAAGGTCCGCTTTGAGGCGGCCTCTCTGAGCTGCGGCCATCTGTCCGGCAAGGCTAAATATTCTCTCCGGCTCTGAAGACATCGCCGGAATGGAAAAGAGGTCGATTGCCATTCGCGACAGGCGTGGATATTGGCGTCTGCGGAGAAGCCAGTACTGGATGGGATTGTCCACAAGACAATCGCCCGGATCGGTACTGCCCACCCATTCTGCGTACTCGTCACGCATGGAGGACGGTGAGGGCGCAGGTTGGGCGCCAAGTTTCCTAATTGAGGTCATGAAGTCATCTAGGTCCGTTGTCTTCCTTGCAGCTGTGGGCTCCTCGGGTATCGTATCTTGCTCGACCGCGAGGGTTCGGTACTCCTCCCATATGCGCCATTGCAGCAGTCAAGTGCAGAGCTGTCCCATTTTGGCCATCGGCTACAAATATCTCCCCCCGTAATATGGCAGACGCACCCAAAGATATATTTCACGATCAAACGTGTCAGGTAAAACACAAAAAGAAAGCTTGGTGACACGGCCTGGAAAAGCAACTGCCCGTAATTAGCGACCGCTCTAGGCCAGGCAGGGCTGGCTCCCCAAAACTATTGGCCCAGGTCGCCATTGTGGGGCGTATCCAAATAATCAGATATCCAAATAAATTTGGGTGTTGCGATTTGATTTGATTTGATTCAGCGCAGGGGCAATTTGATTTGATTTGATTTGGATAAATTTGATTTGATTTGATTTGATTTGATTATGATTTATCTATTTGCAAGTCTGGACCTGCCAGACTTGGCCTCTTCCTGTTCCAGCGGAATCGGGTCGATGAGAGAACAAAGACCAATGCTTGGGCTCGTTTTCCGCCTGATATTGCACGACGACGGACAGGTAAAGGGTCGAAGGCTCCTCTTGGGCCACAGGGGCCTCGATTGCCGACCACTCACTGAGGGCTTTGCCCGTCTTCCGATCGACTTTGCGGGACCATTGTGAGCCATCCGAGTATGAGACGTACTCCCGACCACGATGCACAGCGTGGCTGACGACGGTGCGATTAGCATCTGCCATCCTGATGAGTGGTGGGGAGCGTGAAGGTAGTATTCTGGCACACTTTTGTGTGCATGTGCGTGCTTGTGTCGAGTGTGTTTATATATGTGTCTTTGGGATCTCAGCCAGTTGAAGTAGAGGAGGTTGAGAAGGCTATCTATTGAGCTTGCGCAATGATCCTAAGGCACTGGCTTTAAATAGCCGGCGGCCCGGCGAGAACTGATCGTTCATTTTCTTGAAGACTGCTGTTGGCAAGCATATAGTGTTCGACCGACCGTTTGCTTACGTGGTTTCGAACAACGGCCAGGATGCGCGCGTCTAACTTCTCCCACTCAGCTGCCTATCAGCTTTCGTGTTGGTGGGTGGTTCGTTGGCTCTGGCTTACGTGTAATCGGCTCAGCCCCGATCAATGAGGCCGGGAAAGCGGCCATAAGCACGTTGGTTTCAAACCTGCACCTCGCCCGGGGATTGAGAGGATGGTATGAATTCTTTGCTGAAACTCGCGCAGTCATTGGTGTCGCTTTTCAATGCGAGGTGCAGCGGCTCGATGATGATTGGTTTTACGCCACTTAGGTACTGTCAGCGGCACGGCTGACAGCACAGAAGAAGTAAAAGGGTGTTGGAATAGTCAATTGCTCACCTCCTGCACGGAAGAATGTTGGCCCTAGCCCGAGATGCTTGCTTTGTATGCTCTCTATCTCCTCTTTCTCTTTCACCCTCTACAGAAGAGAGAGAAGACAAGTCATGATCATAGCTATAATAGAGCTTCTTTGTGACTCGTCTGTGTATCGATACACGGTGACCTACCTTCAAGGGGCATAAAAGAGGTGAATTTAGTGATGCATGTCACAAGCTATCTACAGGGACGCAAGGGGCCCTTTATATAAGTACAGATACAGCTTGTGGCCTCAATTCTTTAGTTAAATGAGGCATTGAGAGGTTCCTGTACCTGACACTGGTACCTCATGCGTCTCTCAGCTAAGAGGGCATTTTCGGCACCAGGGGGGGGTAATTGCAGTCATGCCTTGACTTGGCTGACCCCCTCGTGGGGCTGTTGCATTACTCCCCTCAACAGGTACTTAGCGTAGGTGGTCCGAGCGCCAAGCCTTTGGCCTCAATCCATCCCCCAACCACAACATTCCGTCGTTCTTACCATACACGAGATCGCTACCCTCCTGCCAAATTACTCGTCCAGCGCGCAGACTGCTCGACAGCTGTCCAAACATGAGTGGTGATGAATCTGATGAATGTGAGGAACAACACACCAAGTCATTACATTTCACTTTCCCCTAACGCCTCTTCAGATGACCCGAATTTCGAGAAACGTCGAATTGCATGGCAGTTTGGATGCACAGTAAGCCTAATCCAGCCTGGAGTCGTGCTCAAGCAGGGCATCAAGGTTCGACCTTCGGAAGAGAGAGCGATGCGACTCGTCCAGGAGCACACTCCGGATGTGCCGATTCCCCGCGTCCATGGATCGCTTTACAGGTACAACGACGGCGCCCCATACTACGGTGAGCTGTTTATGGACTTTGTGCCGGGGAGGACTCTCAAATCGACATGGGCTGAGCTCGACGAGGCTTGCAAAGATCGCATCTGTCAAGATATATGGGATCTCGTTGCTCGAATTCGCTCTATACCACCTCCCGACGATTTGGGTCCTGGCCTTTACCGCACCGTCGACGGCTCTCCGTCTCGCGACCCTCTCCTCGGCAGTGGCAGCGATATTCCTCCGTGCGATTTGGATGATGATGCCCTACGGAATCGTATCTACGCCCGATACGTTACCTCTAATGGGCTTTCTTATCGTGACTGTGGGAACATGCCAGAGTTACTCCCGCGCTCCGACACTTCAGTCTTTACGCATGGCGACATCGGCCCTAGAAATATCATAGTGGATGAGAACTGCCATATCGCCGCTCTTCTTGATTGGGAATCTTCTGGCTGGTTCCCTGACTACTGGGAGTTTGCGCAGATGATGAAGTTCTGCGATCCGTTAGAGCACGAGTGGCAGAGATGGATGGACAGAACCAGGCCAGAGGTATGGGATATCAGGTTTATTCAAAAAGCAAGGCGGGTCTTGTTCTGAATGTCACTTTAGAGGGTCCTATATTATTATTATGGGTTCCCGATAGTATACTTCGTATTCGTTATCGTCTATATTAAAAATTGTAGCCTTCTATTCCTTTATCTAGGTTTTATATCTATTTAGTCGTCGAGTATCGGACTCTTGCACACAGCCTTATCGAACGGTAGGATATAAAGTAGTCGATTTATATATCTCCCTCTATAGCTATGCCACTCGACTTTTTGCCCTCTTAATCTATTCGGTCTTTTCCTTCTAAGTCTATTCTATAGGCCTACTTGTGGGAATGTATTAGTCTATTGTACTCATCTAGCTAGCTTACGTACACAGTCACGTGTGCTGCTGAGGACGGCTGAGGCCACATAACTAGCATCGTGGCCTCCTCCCCCTTTTCGATAGACAATCCTCATAGCATAATACGACACACCGGTTGAACGACGTTCCCAGTTTGTCTCATGCTCGAGCCCTGCCAACACTGATCAGTGATTGCAGTGACAATCACAGACAGCTAGGACAGAAGAGACAAATCGCTAACCTTCAAGATCGGCTGCAAGGCATCGGTTAAGGAAGGTTATTTGTGCTAAGTGGCTATCTCAGACTGCAAGGCATCTGGGAGAACCTACCAAGCTATTAATCGGCTGCAAGGCATCGATTAGTAGTGCGACCACATCGCCTAGCGACTTCTATTATCGGCTGCAAGGCATCGATCAACAGTTGTTACTAGACCCGACAAAGACGTATTTCGACAGCCAGATACGACTCCATCGTCTCATTCACTTGATCAACGATGACCCCGACCGACCGAGCTACGACTCCGAACGAGAGCGCCCAGCTCGAACAATTGAGCGAACGGATGCAAGGACTAGCTATCCAGACATCCGTATACGATAAAGTTGATGTTACCCTTTGGGGACAAGACATCAAACCTGACGAGGAAGATGAGATCGCAGTTACGACGTACGCCGCTAGGTTCATGTCCGATGCCCAATTCGAACGCCTAGAAGGAGACGACATCCTTGACCATTTTCAACAACACTTCGAAGGCTGGAACCAAGACATATGGAACCGGGTACATATGGACTACAAGAGAGCCCTTAGATTACTTCTAAGGAGACGTGGCATCTATACAGGACGGAAAAATGGCCCTTTTGCACCCCAATTCATCATGTTGCAAACTGCGGAGGACCGACCTGCATGGCCAGAACGAGAGTACATGGAGACCGATTTTGACATTGGGACAACCGCTCATAAGTTACGAGCAGCAGGATCAAAGGCTCTAACTTCTCCCCGAGGACCCCAATCGCCGCCGGTAGCAACATCTCGTTACGATCTTAACGAACAACAGCCCATTAAGACCTTAACGAAGCCACCTGCCCAGGAACCCATCACTGAGGCACTACCGATAACATCACCTCCCACGACTTCCGCTCCGACCCAAGATGCCCTTGACCCAACCTCTCTTACAGTTCATCCGACAACACACCGCTTCAAGCACCCCGAACTCGTCCAACCCGTCCACACCCCCCAACCCGAACTATTATCCGAGCCTATGTCCCTCGAGGCATACACAAAACTCCCACCGGATGATATCCCGAACGCCACCGTCGATGGCGACACACAGCAGAAATTCATGAAACTCTGGGACAAAGACAAGAACTACACAGGAGAGCCGTACGACCTCCTCGATGACAAGATCCGAATCTTCATGAGCATCTGCTACAACATCCAAGTGAAACCGTCACAATTTCACGCCCTTTTTCCCCGAATCCTCGCCGGAAGAGCACAAACGTTCTACATTGACAAGATCGAATGGACTACCACGTTTAGGAAGGCATACGATAGCATCAAACAACACTTTGACACGGAAGTTAACCACGTCCATTACTATACAGATTCAGGGATGGACATCTTACGAACGGGAATCGAATCGATAGATTCATTCGATGCCAAGTCTTACGAATATCGAATCGAATTTCTTGGCGTTCGATTCGATGTCGAATCTGCCACGGCCCCGTTCGATTCGCATCGAATCGAACGCGGAGTGCCTCGTTCGACGTTCGACAGCATCGAATCGAACGTGGCGTTTTTCGTTCGACAGACGAATCGAACTGAGGTGCATTTTAGTGCCCATCGAATCGAACGGCACCCAGGCGTTCGACCGAATTCGATCGAATCGATCGAATGAGTGATGCGGTTCGCGAAAATCACCGCGGAGAGCCTTTACGCGCGTCTTCTTAGACGCGTTAGTCGGCCCCTGTTGGTGCCTGACGCGACCAAGCGTGATTTGACCTCTATCGACCAAACTAGGTTAAGGCGCTAAGACATGTTAGTATGTACAGCTAAACCCCACACAACTACGTGACAGAATTAGTATCTTGCAACTCCAGCAAACATGCTCTACGGAAACTCATTGATGGCTGTTCTATAAAATCTATAAAATCATGACGAAACTCTAAAGTGCAGGGTCACCATAAGTTCCCATGGCGACGTTGTATACGTGCGATATGTTGGAACGAAATCTCAGTCATAGGTGGGATTGATACCATGGCGCCAGAGCTAAGAAATTCGACTATCTCACGAAGGTATAGGGTAGGTCTACCCAGTCACCCGGTTCCATCGATCGGAGTTTATTATACGTTTGCCCATCCTCTCTGTGTTTCGACGCCTGGGAAACAAGAAACTGGCCCATTTAGAGAAACTCTCCCGCAGAACTTGCATACCAGCATCTCAATCACAGTACCACAGCTAGAATGATATTTTGACCTTCGAATCGCATTTGTACAACTTTAACCGTGTCCTACAGGTCCTTCCAAAAATTTCCAAATATTCATCGCCATTGTCACTGTAACTCCTGCCCAAACCAAAACAGCCTCTAAGCCGATGTACAAGTGACTTCAAAACACTCCGCCAGCTCCATTCAAAGCTCTGTCGACCTCAAAGGAGTTCGAGGCCGATTCAGCGATGAGACGAGGATGGCACGAGAAAGGGCAGCCAAATGAAACGACTCGTCACACGCCACGATGATCTGTGCATTATTACGACACAAGCCAATGGGGGGCATTGGAAACCCTGATGAACAGGGGATATTCCAACAAGGTTGCCGGGTCTCATCGCGCCTCCGATTTGATTGGCTGCAAGCAGGGGCGGAGATGCCGTGCCTGACGCCTCGGAAGCCAGTCAAGCATCAACGCCGGAGGCCGGGACCATCTTGGCGGCAGCGACGGTCCATCGTCGTTTTTTGCATGGGTGACGGAAGCTCCTTTGATTCGTCCAAACCACTTTAGCCAATGCAACGGAGATTGCGGTGATGGGTTTTCTTCTCTACTTTCTTTTTCCCCTTCCCGGGACACGCGTTGGACGCGTTTATGCCTGCTTCGCCGAGCTTCGCTGCCATGATGGGGCATGAGTTGAGCGCCGGCGAAGCCTCGATGACTTCTACCTTCATCTGTCGGCGCGCTCGCTCAATTTGCATGATCGGATCAACGTTGTGATGTCATCCGAACCACTGTCAAGCCCATCCCCGTCGAATCGGTCAGGTTTGATTGAGCATGTGGGGTACTCGTCTTTACCACCCGCATCATCCCAAGGAACCTCGTTGCCGACGACTCCATCACCTCGTTCTCGCGGTACTGCTGCCGACTTTATTCAAGTAGATTGGACGCTCTGGGGCCGCCAAGAGTGGGCGAAATGGCCTGGATTCGAGCGATATACTGGCGGCCAGGACACGAGGGCGTGGTGGCAGCAATACGGGTATCGTGCTGAGGACCGGTCAACCTCGCGCCAGGGCAACAGGCTGAAGTGGATCTGCGCGGATTGCTTCGCTCGAGGCTTCAAGAAGAAGTCAGACTTCTGCTTCGTCTGCTCGACAGGAGCCGCTATCAAGAAGCACCTTCGTAACGCCCACGGAATTCTGGTAAGTGTGTGCCGTTCGGAGATATGCCAGCAACATGAGTGTTGACTTGGCAGGCCCCAAACGACGTTGCAGGAGGCGTGCGAGCCTCATCTTTGGACGGCCGGCCCATCACACACTTCATTGGTGCCGACTTCAACAACCCGCACGACCAGTTCCTTGTCAGCAAGCTGCGGGGAAGATTCAACAGCAAAGGGCTTCGGGTGCTCCTACTTGACTGGATCACATACCATAATCTGCCATTTGATATCGTCAACACAGAGAGGTTCCAACGGCTCCTTCTCTACGGCAATCCGCTCCTTGATGCGACTCATATCCCATCTGGGAAGACGCTACTTCGCATGCTCGAATCTGAATACAGGGGTGCCGTCGGGCCCGTAACGGAAGTACTTCGCACCGCTCGATCCCAGGTTCACTTCTCTTTCGACGGCTGGACATCTCAGTCCTACACTGCATTTCTGGGCATCAATGCTCAGTTCATTGATCACAACTTTGCTCAACACCGCATCCTCCTTGGGCTGCGACCTCTCTTGGGTAAGCATAACGGTGCCTCGCTTGCCGATGAGGTCGCCGATACACTGGCATTCTGGCAAGTCAACAACCCGGACACGGTCGGCTACTTCACGCTGGACAATGCTGCCAACAATGACACCTGCATGGAAGACCTTGCCTTTGAGCACGGCTTCTCACCCGAAGAGCGACGGATCCGCTGCGCTGCACATATCCTCAACCTCTGTGTGCGGGCAATGCTGTACGGTTCGAAGCAGGAGAATTTTGCTGCAATTGTTGCTGCCGATGGGGATGATCTAGATGACGACGAGGAGCAAGTTGATCAAGCTATCGACGAGGCCCTAAATGGAGAGATGAAGGACGGTACGGACGAAGACCCAGGAGCAAACACTGCCGTTGACATCCCAGAAGAGGACCCCATATCGTCTCACCCGGCTCCGGACGAGATCAATGCTGCCAGCTTCAGGGAGTACAGTCAGAACGGCGCGCCCGGAATGCTTCATCACATCGGTCTTCAGCTGCGAAACACACAGCTGTACGAACAGTTTCTTCAGTCTCAACGCAAGGAATCCGGGCATGGAACAACACTTCACTGGGCCTTCAACAATGCCACCCGGTGGAACTCGGACATGCGTATGATGGAACGGGCTCTTCGACTCCGCCAGGCGCTCAATACCTTCTTCAATGACGTTCAAAATCGGTGGGAAACGGAGGGCCTCTATGACCGAACGAAGCCGGCAGTTCTGCAGTGCCGCTTGAGTGTGTACGACTGGAAAGTTATCGAGGTACTTGTCAAGCTTCTCAAGCCGTTCGAGATTGCCACCAAGCAACTTCAGGGCAATGGTATTCCCGGCGGTAGGTCCACATGTGGCAGTTTCGATGAATACTTCCCCGTCTTTGAGATTTTGCTTGACCACCTCGAAAGTGCTATCGAAGGCACAATCTTCGAAGAGGTTGAGGATCCAGTGACTAGGGAGAAGAAGGACGTCGAAGTAGCCATTTATGACGGGCTCGATAGCAGGACCCGCAGGTTGCTCAAGGTCTATATCAAGCTCGGATGGAAGAGAGCATCGAGCTCCGTGTCCTTGGCCAACAGGTCCGGTACCGCAGCCGCGTCCTCTAGGTCAGGCTCCGCCTCCTGATCTTCCTCCTCCGGTCTTACATCGGCAGCCTCCACCTGGCTTTGGGGAATGGCGTCCACCACATTGCCGTCCTCGGGCAGTTGGCTCAGTCGCTCGTTGTCGATGACGATGCATCGGTATCCAGGATGGTGATGGCGGAGGTAGTCAAGCCATATCATAACCGCCTGGCGGCGCACACGGAACTGACGGGTAAATTGCCGGCTTAGATTGGCGTGTGATGACGTGTTGGCAGGACGCAGCAACACCGTGTTTAACTCCCGTGGCAGAAGTGGGAGCTGGTTGTACACCAAGCCAACCTCACGAAGAAAGTGAACGACATGCCCCCGATACTTGTACTGCTGGCCTCGCACCAGCATGATGTTCACATGGACGTGGACGCGAGCGATCAATGACTCTTCTGTAGGCGTGAGCTCAGGCAATCGTGTCGGTACGGGACCAAAGTCAAGTTGATTTTCGGCAGAGAAGAAATAAGGCTCGTCAGAGCCGCGCTTCTCATCCTTTCGATAGCAACGCGAGCAAATGCCGTCATAATCAATTCCCATCTGAAACCAACACTCGCGACATCGGCTGCAGTATTCCATCTAATCATTGTCAAGTTTGGTCTCCTCGCCACAGCGAATGCATACGATGGAAACCACGCCACCTTGAGACCCTCGATGAGGCATAGGGTTCACTGCGGTTGAAAGCAGCTGCGTACGATGGGTTTGTTGGCGACCCGCGATGCTCAGAGTAGCTCTGTGACATTCAGGGCAAGTGCAAATTGGACCCACTTTTAGAAGGCCATCATCCAGTTGAGTTACGTTTTAGAAACCATACAACCAATCAGATGTCAGAAAACTTAACTGATCCCTGCTGCACCAAACCCTCATACGAGAGGAAGGCTCGCCAGCCGCGGCTCGCGCAAAGAAGCCTTTCGGAACGAAATTTGGCGACAAGAGAACCGGAGAAGAGTTGGCTACAGAAGAGAGAGAGAGAGTTGGCGACAGTAGATAGGAGACAGGAAGAAGAGTGAGGTCGAGATACGAGACACGGCGAGAGACGTAGAGCATTATCGTGAGTGAAACCGAGACAGAGCGTCGGGAAGGCAGGCTAGGCCGCTGGAGGAAAATTTGGTTTAAAAAGGCGCAAACTCAAAGGGCGTGGAGAGACGGCAGGGTTGAAGAGAGATGTGAGTGGGTAATGCATGTCTGGGCGAGTGGAAGGCTCGGAAAATTTACATGTGCTACCGGTATAAGTCGTAGGTATAAACAGAATAAGGAGTATATTGGGGAAGTTTTGACTTGATCGTCTTCATGAAAAGGAGAACAAGAAGAGAAGAGAATGTGCTATTCGAGCCTTTGGCAGTTGATTTTGAGGATGATGAGACATGTTGTCATGTTGTATTGTTTCGTTTGATGCTTTAAAGTTCAGAGAATATTCTTGGGCGGACGTCGGGCGCGCAGTGGTCGGGAAGATATCGACGCGGGAGGTCTGATAGAGCCAGAGGCGGATGTGTCTTGGTGATTGACCTGTTCGGTGTCCGTCTCTGACTCTGCGGGGTCTTCCGGGGACAGAAAGGAGGAGGTATCGGATATGGGAGTCTTGACCGTCACAGTCGGTGATTATGGTGGAAGTTTCGGGAGAAAGTCGCGGTCTCTTGGTTGGGGTTTGGTAGGGATCGGGCAATGACCGACTTGATGCCAGCATAAGGGATCGACTGGGCCAGAAGCATGCGGCGTGGGGAGGCGGGGCTTTGGGCGGCCTTGGGTTTCTTCGTAGAGGTAAACCTGGCCAACGCAACGCTATAGTCCGAGGATTGCCGACCGCGCTCTTGGGTGTCGTCGGCAGTAGTTGTGTTGCAGAAGCCTGGTCGGACATGGCCTTGTCGTGGAAAGTCCACGTGTCGGGGACGACGATGAAGATATAGTCTTGGTCGAAAGCCGGGGCATGTTTCATGATCTGGTGATCCAGTAAGCCGGCGATTTTGCCCGTACAGGTGAAGAGAGCGTTCGACTGGAACTGGCTGTCGCGCCTCTCGGTCATCTTCTTGCATAGGGAGGTCCAAGGATTAGTGTGAATGGGGAAGATGACGAAAACTTGGAAGGGGTGAAAGCCCTTGAAGGGGGTTTTGCCGGGAATCCCAGGACAAATAAAGGTGGATAGCTGGACAAAGCCGCAGCAGCTCAGCTGGGTGTCGTCAAGGGCCGCAGCCGAGTTTCCATGCAGGAGGTCGCGGCCGGAGCCGATGACAGGTCCCGTGAAGGAGACAATGGGTTGTATCGTTGGGAAAGTATCCACCGAGCTGAGGGTGCGAGTGACAATTCTATGGATATCGTCAGGGAGGGCAGTGGCGACAGAGAGATTTGGAGCATAGACTCACGGTTGGTAGCTGTGATCGCGGACTATAAGCGCGGGGACGGTGTATTCTGTGATGTTATCATCGTCCGACTCCAAGCCATCACGTCGCTCGATTTCCCACGTGACGAGGTATCGACGTTGAGCTGGGAGGCCGACATCGTGAGAACATGGCAGATGTAGTCACCGTGGAAGTGTAAATGAGGGGTTACGCAGAGTGGAGGTGGGCATCCTATAAAGCAGGTTTTCTTGCTGCTCGAAAGAGGGCTCGCGGCTAGGGTCGGGGAGACTTAAGAGTCAGAGAATGCTACCTAGGTGATAGATCAGAAGCGGGGGTATGCGGGAATGAGCTGGCGAGGTTCTTGAACAGTCTCGACCATCTGGTTCTATGGTCGTGAGTGAAGTAGGGAGCCGGGGGTTGGAAGTTGAGTAGGGGTGATGGCTATGTCGCGAGAAGTTGGAGGTCGGCGAACAGTAAGGTTAGTGTGGGTAAGTCTGCGGAGAAAGAAAGTCCAGCAGTACCCTTCGGTGTCATCGTTGCATGGAGTAGATAGCAAAGGCGACAATAACGAATGAGAGTGAAGGAAAGAAAGAGGTTATGGTAGTATTGCAGGGTCCCTTTTGACGGTCGTCGGTAGTTGGATGGGCATTGCGTGCGGCTGAGCGAGGCGGGTGCCGACCGTGTCGAGTCCACTATTGGGACACGGTGAAGTCGGATATAGGGGACGACCTGAGGAGGAGGATGCGAGTTGGTCACGAGAACTCTCCAAGAGGGCTTGCAAGTCGAGACTCCGGTGGCTAGCGACTACAAGAGGACAGGCAGGGGGATCCTGGCTGTCGCTTTAGCATGAAGGCCGTTGATGCGACGTTGGTGGTGGCGAGGGAGCAAACCTAGCCGGGTAGTCCGGTTGCACGAGGGACACCGTGGACATGTTATCGCCGGCAGCCTTTTGGCTGTTGCTCGACGAGGTGGAGTGGCAGATATTGATGGAGCAACTGATGCGCAAGGTGGGTGGGACGGCGTTGGAAGGGCCGGAGAGTATGGTTGGAAGTGTGCGGCGGGCGGTTGGCGCGGCCACCCCCATGTGCCGGAGGTCGGCAGTAGCCAGGGATTCGCTGGAGTGCGCAAAGAGAGCACGGCGATGGAAGGGCCGCCTTTGGCAAAGCTGGGGTAGCAGGTCGCACGTGGAGACCAGCCGAGGCCGGGACGGTGGACGCACATAGGGAGGGTAAATGGGGATTACAAAGGGTAGTAGTATTGCATCGCTTCGGTACCATAGGCAAGCATTATAAGGGAAGAAACGCCACGGCCATGAGTAGTGATCGTTAGGAAGCTTCCCACTCGGAAAGAAATAGTGTACGCCAAGAAGCGAGATTATCCAAGTGGAAGTGCTCCGGAGCCAAAACTTTCTAGCCTGTTGCCAATCCACGCTAGTCGACGTCGAGGAGGCAGTAGCATGGCGGACAGTCCTGCAGGAAGCTAGGCGAGGCGGCCGCTCACCGTGGAGCCTGTTCGTTGTCAGTCGAGGATGGAGAAGAGGGTAGGAACGGGGAGTGCCTGTTTCGGGGTGCGGAGATGATACAGGGCAACTCCGAGAAGGGCACGGAGCACGGGAGACAAGGTTGGGGCGGTTCGGGAGATACAGATCAGTGGCGAATGAAGCATTAACGTTCCGGCTGATTCAGCCTAAGCAGTCTGCGGTCGAAGAAACCGCATGGAGAAAGCATGCAGAGGCGATCGCAAAGTCACTGCCGAGAAGACCGCCGCGAGGCGGTTTGCGGTCAAGCAGAGCACGGAAGTCCCGTAATTTGGTCAGCAGCGGAAATTCCGCGCAACGTCAGTCACCGAGTCCGCTTCCGAGGTTCGTGTTGCCTACAGAACGTGGAGACCAGGGGGCAGTGGGCTCTAACAGTCCGCCCCTTCATCGGCCGTTTTTGCCCCAGGAGAGGGGTCCTGAAGGTGACGGGCAGGGAGATAAGGCGGCGACCGGCGGTGTCCCGGGTGTTCGTTCGAAAAAGGGACCGACGCTCCGACCTATCCAGCCCAAGGATACGACTTTCCAAGACCTAAGACGAACGGCGCAATTTGCAGCATCGATTGCATGGGGTTTGCCCAAGCTCCGTCGGGGACCGGTTCGGCGGCCAAGGGCACAGGTGGGTGTGGACGATGGCGCAGCAGAGGCAGCGGACGGCTCGCTGCGCGGACAGAGGCAGTCCCGGAGGCGGGAGAAGAGAGCCCGTCTTCCTAGCCGGGATGGGCGCCCGATAAAACAGGTCCGAAGTGGAATCGGAAGGCATAGGAGACGGGAGCTGCAGGCCGAAGACCTGGCGAGTGTGCTGCGCTTTTTGGAGGAAGACTTTGCCTTGAAGGAGAGATTGTCTAACGATCAGACGTGGTGCACGCCAATACCGCTCGAGAGGAAGGTGTCGACGGTGCGAGACTTCTATCAGGCGTTCCACGATGCGAGCACGTTGCCGATACGGACCTGCATGGTGTGCTACCGCAAGTGTACGAGAGGAGTTGAGGAGATTACATGGGATCATTGGCTGTCAAGTTGCGTACCAAAGGGCGGCCGCTCACCATTTTCATGCCGGAGTTGCTTTCCTGAGGGCGAGTCCGTGTCGGTGTGCGCCGAGTGTGGCCGATGCCTGGCGCGCAGGAGCCTGTCGCCGGCGATCCACCTTCACAGTCGCCTTGGCTGCGAGCACATGTTCCCCGATGAGCTCAAGGGACTGACGCCGGTCGAAGAGAAGCTCATCTCGCTGAACTCGTGTTACGGGTTTGTCACGAGATATAGCATTCCGGGCGGGCAGAGGCAGAGCGTGAAGTATCCGAGGCATGTCAGGGGCCACATCACGGTGTTTCCGAACAATGTGCAGGAGCTGGCCACCAAGTGCTCCCGCACCCCCTTTGCAAGCACTGGACGAGATCCACATCTCGTGGCAGGGCGCGGAGAAGCCGGCACCGAGCGACCTGTCGAGTCTCTTGTCGGTGAGGCGGCGGGTGGTCGAGAGGGCCCTTGTCTGGCTGAAGCGGAACAACCCCCACTACGCCGAGATCGAGATCGACGCGGCGGAGATGGGGAGCTGGGGAGACTCGATACACGGGGTACCGTCGTCGGTGTGCGATCGTATGGAGCGGAACGAGCCGTCTGGGTGGGAGAAAGCGCGGACGGCGCACGTTGTGCCGCCCACGGAACGCGCCATGGACGAGGAGGGCCGGTGGAGATCGAGGAGCTCTTCGCCCTGCTCAACCAAGGACAAGAAGCCGGCGGCCAGGGTGAAGGTCACGGGCCCAACGGAGAAGGCGCGGTTCGCGATGGAAGTGACGCCTGCCCCGACCAGAACGTTCCAGCGATCAACGAGGTGACGTCTTCTGGCATGTTCGCGCTCGACGGACCGCCAGACGTCGCGGACGTGGAGAAGCTGCAGTTTGCCTGTGACGCTGTTGGTGAAGGTGCCGACGACGGCCGTGCGGGCCGAGAGCGTGGGTCGGGTCCCTAGCCGGGGTTCGGGGCGTGGCGACGGTGGTTGTGAGCCATACATCCGGGTTTCGCGGGGTGAGTTTACCGATTCCTTTGAGGCGTCCTTCTTTGCCAGGACGTTCCCGACCCTGTTCCCATTTGGCGTTGGGGACCAAGGCTGGTTGAAGAGACCATGGTCGACGCGGGAAGGTCACGGCCAACTTGCGAGGCAGGGCTGTCGAGGCAGAGGCGGCCGCGGAGACCCGTATCGTCTCGAAGCTTGAACCTTCAGGCGTGGGCCGAGATCGTGCTCCGGCGCCATGGTGGTCGATTTGCACTGCACCACATCTTCGCATTTCTCGTCTTCAACATGGGGTGCGGTCGAGGAACCGCCGGGTCAGCATGTTGAGTGTGGGAGGAAGAACTTCCGCAAGGTAGAGCGCATCGTGCGTTCGATGACCACAGAAAGGCTAGCGGCGGCGAGGGTCGAGTTGGAGAGCTCGGGTAAGACGACCGATGGTGACGTGAAGGAGCTTCTCAGGAGCCTCTCGCTTTACGGCCACCGGCAGCCCATGTCGAGAGGTCCGTCTCAATATGCGGCGGAAAATCCAGTCGCTCATCGTCGGATATGGCGTGCCGGCCATCTGGTTCACCATCAACCCGAACGACATTACGAACCCGGTGAAGCTGCGACTGGCGGCATACCGCACACGCGATCCCGACGCGGCCGAGGAGTTCTTAGAAGGCCTTGGGGATGCGTATAAGCGGGCACGGCTGGCGATATCGGATCCCATGAGCTCGGCCGTGTTCTTCCACCGCGAGATGAAGCTGTTCTTCGATCATTACGTGAAGGTCGGTGAAGAGTCGGTATTCGGGCGCATCGGCAAGTACTATGGCGCCGTGGAGACGAACGAACGAGGGCGCTTCATGTTCACGGCTTGCTCTGGCTGCACGGGAACGCGCATCTCAGCTCGATGCTTGCCGACATCCACGGGGAGGATCAGGCGGCGTATCGCGAGCGAATCGTCCGATACATCGATAGCGTCTTCTCAGAGGTAAGAATGCCTACCTAAGATGTGCCACCGGGAGCCTGAAGTACTCTTCTGATGGCCAAGTGGGGCCGGGTTGACGTGCAAGGCAGGATCTGGACCAGGAAAGTTTTTGCGCCGTGCAAGCGGAGCGATCTGTGACGGGCGGTATTGGTTCCCTGCTGGACAACGCCGCGCAGTTCTCGGCCGCGTTTATCGAGGAGGCCAACTTCTGTGCCGGCGCGACGCAGGTGCACACGCATAGCCCGACCTGTGTGAAGTATTCCTTGGGCAAAGGAGGGCGGAAGGGGACCTCTGCCGGTTCAAGGCGCCATGGAGGTTAGTCGACAAGACCGCCCTCACGGCAGACGGGTGCTGCAGATCCGGAGGACACACAGCATGGTCAATCGATGGAACGAGGCTATTGCTGTCGGGCTCCGGCACAACCATGATATTTCCTTCATTGCGACGCAGCGCAAGACAATGGCCCTCATCTATTATGTCACGAACTACGCGACCAAGGTGGAGGACCCGGTGTGGAAGCGTGTGGCGGCCGCGGCCGAGCTCCTGGCCGCCTCAACAGGTGATGGCACGGCCAACGGAGGGCGGGACGGTGGCGGAGACGCTGCCACCGATGACCCTGTCAAGGGAACAGGACGCGACAGTTCCTGAGAGTGGCGAACCGCGTGTTCACGGAGCGTCCGCTATCACAGGTCGAGGTCGTCGCTCACCTTCTCGGATATCCGGCCGAGTTCACCGACAGCAGCGCGTGGGCGTACCTGAACTGTTCTCTGCTGTACTGGGAAGTCTTTCGGCAATGGCGGCATCTCCGAGAAGCCAGTGGCGCTGCGGCTATGGATGACACCTTGGATGAGTCGGTCGTCGTCGAAGAAGAAGGCCTGAGAATCTCCCACGTCGAGGCGTACCAGCACCGGGAGAGCTGCTGAAAGGCCTATGCCTGTATGACTACATATCGATCGTCAGACTGAAACGCATCGGCAACGACGAGAGCTGGGCGGCTTGGGGAGATGTCTTTCGAGGATGGATGGGCGCCGGGACGACGCTGGGTTCAGGTGCTCAGGCGGCCGGGCAAGCACGCTACCGTCTGCCTCGACGGCTACCTGAGCAAGGACTTCACCTACGATGACGAGTCGTGCTACCGGAGGTGTGTATGGCAACTGCTCTGTCAGCGGGCATTATCGGAGAGGCTAACCCACCCCCTGAAGGGCAGCCGTGCAGCATCTTGCGTTGTTCGTGCCGTGGGAGTCCTTCCTGGGCGAAGGAACAGGTGAGATCAACAGCATCTGGGCGCGGGCTCGAGACGCTATGGCCCCGAGAATATCATGTCTCGTCGACAACGTGCAGCTGCTTCGACGATCCGCCGAAGACGCAAAACGCGACGCCAAGCAATGGGCAGCCTCGTCCGGCGATGGCGACCCGACGGTCGCACACGTCGAGGAGGGTGGAGCAGGCGAGGCGGGCGCGGAGTCTGCAGCGGTGCCAACTAAGTGCGCAGCGCTTAGTTGGCCCCCACAGGGGAAGCCTACGGGTAAAGCCCGGGGTACAACGGGAACTGTTGGCAGAATCCAAATGCACTAACAACAAGAGATAGACCAATCAGAGGCCATAAAAGTCATGCCGGTGTAAGAGTCATGCCGGTGTAGCCATTTGTTCATGCCGGTGTAGCAATTGCCATGCATATATATCGCCCTATTTTTGCCTACGCCGCGGGGCCTTGCCTGTCCACATCTCTCTAAACCGCGAGGTAGGTTAAAGAAGCTGCCGGGGATCACCAATTTCACGCACCATACCACAATCAAGCATCACAACTTGATCAAAGTCTGAGAGATTACCTAGCCGATGCGCAATAGCAATAACAGTGCAGTCCCTAAAATGATTCCGAATAATTGTCTGCATAAGGTTGTCTGTAGCCTGGTCCACACTTGCTAACTGTCAGCACAGCTTAACAATGGCGCCAAGCCCAAGCGAGACTCACTTGCTTGTGACTTCATCAAGCAACACAATTCGTCGCTTGCGAAGAGTTGCGGCCGCCAAGCAAAACAGCTGGCATTGACCGTGGCTGAGAATGCCAGGATCAAGTTGTGCCATTAGTCCACCTTTAGCTTCCAGTAGATCCAACAGATGCACTCGTCGTAATGCTTCCATCAATTCAGAGTCCGATGACTCGTGGCGAGGATCGAGATTAAAGCGAACTGTGCCAGGAACGAACACAGGTTCTTGGGGAACGATATTTAGTTGAGCGCGGACCGTGTCCCGAGGCACAGTGCTAAGATCGACACCATCAATCACGACGGAGCCTTCTTTTATCTCTAGCATGCGTGATAGAAGCAGAAGTAGTGAAGATTTCCCGCTAAAGCTTTTAGTTAGAACAGAGCTCCGGCATTTCGACTCAATTAGGTGGAACGATTTACCTGCCGCTTCGGCCATATATTCCTATCTTCTGACCGGCTTCAATGCATAGACTCACGTGTCGGAGAATAAGATGGTCTGGATTCATTCTAGTGATGGTGTATTAATGATCGAGTTCAGCGTCTATAATGGTTATGGCACTTACCCGTCGAAGGCGCTAACGTTGCTGAGACAGATCTTGCCGGCATGAGGCCAACCCGACGGAGGTTCGAAAACCTCGTTTGCCTTGATCTCGGAAGGCGTATTTTCAACAAAATCCTTGATCCTACCAACAGATCCGATACTTGTCTCCACGACTGTCCACTGCATAACAATGGTAGTAAGCATCATGCTTAGCGACATTACCTGCGTCAAGGCAACGCCCGCGAGCCCGCCACTCGATTTCAGAGCTACCACGAGGGCCACGACGATGATCGCAACACAAGCGACAACCATATCGAGAACAAACGTCAGCCAGCGCTGAATCATATAGAGTAGATACAGCGGCTTCTGGGACGAATCTAGAAGGCTGTGGTTGGCCTCCAAAGCTGCTAATACCCAGCCAAAGGACCTCAGCGTCGAGAGCCCATTCAATGTCTCTAAGAAACTGGTGTATAACGGGCTTTTAGCTTCAAGCTCCAGCGATCTTAGCTGACGAGAAGTTCGAAGATAGAAGCTCTGAACTGCATAGAATACTGGTGTTAAGACGATAAATGCCAACCCGACCCAAGGACTAGAAGCAATAATCAGTACCGCTTGACCGAGCGACAGGAATATCGTCAGAAGCAGTGTTAACAGAGCCAGAGGTAGCTCGTTGTCCACAAATTGAAGGTCTTGAGAGAATCGGTTGATAGTGACGCCACTATCAGTGGTCCTAAAAAAGGATAAGGGCGCCTGCATCATGGAATGGAGAAGCGAGGCGTGCAAGAATGATCCTGCGCGAGTAATAACCCGGATAAAAGTATGGTACGCTGCTGCGAACAAGAGAAAGAGCGCTGCGATTTGAAATGCTGCATATACTCCCCAGTAGGCTAGATTTCCGGGGTTGACGGCATTTACCCAGACATTGAGCCAGTAACTCGGAATGTTATATGCGGCGGCGTAGAGTACAATCAAGAATAGAAGAAGCAAGGTCGCCCAGGTCCCGACTGCCTTGGCATAGTAATTGTAGACGGCGAAATCGGCTGACGTTTGGCCTGGGGTGCTCTTATCTGTGCCAGGTCGAGAGACGTTCTCACTGCTTGCAGCTGCTTCCTCGTTTTCTGGGGCGCCTTTCTTATTGACGCTTTGCTCCTGGGTGACGGTAAGATAAGGGGAGAAGCCATGTTCAGAGCAAAGAGAAGGGTAATTGCCCTGCTGAGCGACTTTTCCGGTGCTGCTCAGTGCAACAATATAGTCGCTGAACGGAAGAAACTGCGTGGCGTGCGTCGCAAAGATGATGGTGATATTCTGTTGTCGAGCCAAGCCCTCTGGACCCATGGCATGCCAGAAGATATGGTTTGCCCCCTCGCTATCGAGGCCGCTAAGAACATCATCAAGGACAAGGATGGAGCTTTGGGCATACAAAGCTCTAGCTAGAGCGATCTTTTGGCGCTGGCCACCGCTCAGGTTAATACCGTCGCTTCCGATAACGGTGTTATCTCCGCTGGGCATCTGGGCGACGTCGTAAGACAATGCGCAGGCGCTGACAACGGCATCATACCACGGCCGCGAGAAGTCGGAATATCCCACAATGTTTTCCTTGATTGTTCCGTTGGTCAAGTACGGTGTCTGACTGCAGAAGCCCATCTTCTTAGAATCGCTTGATACGTGCAGCCTGCCTTTCCATGTAGGCGTCTCTCCCAACAAGGCGTGGCAGAGGGTAGATTTGCCACAGGCGACCGGCCCGACAACAAGAGTAAGCTGGCCCCGTCTAATATTAAGGTTGATGTCGTGAAGGACATCCCCGTCGCCCCAGCCATAGCAGCCTTGACTGATTTGGATGACGGTCTCTGGTCCTGCCGCTATGGGATGGGTTGCCAGCTCCACAGGGGCTTTTTCATCAACAGTGCCGTGAGCCTTTGAACAGCCTTTGATTTCCGCGGATAGCCCTTTTAAGCTGTAATGTATATCAAAGTCTCTGAAGTCGGTTTGGTGCTCAGCCAAGAGGAAGTCATCGATCCGCGCCGAGGATCCGAATGCAGCGAGCAGTGAAGGCAGATCAAGCAGAGTCTGACTGAGAGACTGTGCGATGAGCAGCAGCAGCGAGAGAGACGTGAAGGCTCGAGGCGCGTCAAACACCTGATGGGTGGCCCTCGATGAAAGGATAAAAACCAAGAATGTCAGAAGGGGTGAGATGAACTGCGGCATATAGCCCAGCCCGGCGGTCCAAACCAACAGGATTCTGAATCGCGCCGCGTACATGAGCTCCTCGAGTCGCAGATCATGAACGACGGAAGAGACGCTTTCTGTCAGTGCTCGCATCTTGATGGTCTTGATGGATGACAGGATTTTCGACGTCGCCCCAATACGGGACTGAGCAGCCTGCATCCATTTGACTTGACGAGCATGGGATGACCGGCTCACCCAGACTGTTGCTATGGAAGACAAGGCCGTGATGAAGACAGGTACCACGAGCGAGGTGCCGAGCTCTTCGTGTAGCAAATATGTCAAAATTCCGACTTGAATGACAATGGCCCAGAATTCATGGAAACTGCGCAGCCCAAAGAGAATCCTCTCAACATCGGTACTCATTAAAGTTACGGGGGCTTTAGGATCGCTCATTGCGTGGGCGTTGATCCTCAACGTCTGCCAGCCGATGGCCGAAACCAAGCATCCACGAATCATGGTGAGCACCCGGTAGTGACGGTACCAGTAGGCGCCAGTCGTCACGGCCATTCCGATGTACACGAGAGCATAAGCGCCGATTAGACCTTTGCCAATCGCCTCGGTCTCGGGTGTGTAAGCCTGTTCCAAGTATGCAAGCAGTCTGTGCAGGAGAACTGGCTGGCAGACTGTAAACGCCAAGAGCAGGACCCGTGGCAAGATCGTCTTGAGTATTGGCCACTTCAAGGTGGAAAAAAGGGCTCGCATGCATGCGAAACTTTGTCGCCTCCGCTTGGCATTTGCCCAAGCATCAAGGAAACGAGAGCCCAGACACGCTGAGGCCATATCTGGAGTCATCTCGTCAAGATTTTCCGGGAGCAAAGCCGTTCGGGCACCGTTCCATACAACCCGATTGAGCCAGAAAAAAATGCTTTGGTTTAGCACGCTGCTGGTGCTTTCGGGTCCGTACATCTCCTTTGATGTTATGATGGAGTTTGATTTCTCGTGCGATTCAAGGGCCAAAACCACGACCTTGGAGCTTACCGAGGCAACGACAAGCATCGCGAAGGCGGACGCCGGAGATACCAGCCATAGCGTGCGAGCGCGCGCAGCATCGAAAAGGATAGAAAGCATACAATATAGCAGCAGAACGGATGAAGGCCGAACATTGCGGCCATGTTCAAGGTATGATAGCAAGCAGAGAAGAATGGCAGTGATGAGGGCAAGTGCAGCCGCTAATATTGAGGACCAAGTTCTCAAGGCCTGATTAGTAGACCAAAAGCAAAGAACAGCTGTTTGTAGCGCCGCGTAGACAGCAAGTGCTAACTAAGAGCAGGAATGAGTAAATTCGAGCCATACAAACGGGCCTATTTCAACGGGGGTTGAAGCTCACCAATTTGACGGCTTGGAGCCTTCCCGCCGTCACCAGCCTCTGTTGATGGCGGAGACGCAAGATTTTCATGCTTGCTGCCAGGATGGCAATCAAAGAAGGAAGGATGGAGAAGATAATGTCTTCGAACAAGATTGTAAAATCAAAATCCCTGTGGCATCCATTGACCACAGGGCCAAAGCTTTCATCGTTGCAGAATGGTTTCATGGTGTTCAAACAGAACGTTTATCGCGAGATTTCGGTGTTTTGGTGAACACGGATTTCGGTATACAACCACGCAAAAAAGCCGCCGCCCGTGACCGGTCCAGCTTAATACAGATAACCGGCGGCAAATAGTCGGAGTACGAGGTGGTAACCTTGAATATGCACGTCTATCAGCCGAGTTGATAATCAAATGGCAAAAGCGGAGTCTTCTACAGATACAGGGCCATGCCCGAGAGTGGATTATCGAAGGCGTTGAGAGCCAACATGCATATGTATGTGGGAGTCATGAGGAGACATGGTGGATCATGCGATCAGACCATTACACAATGCCATGTCCTTTGATTTGTGATTGTACTCTATGCAGCTTGGTGTGGGCATTTTGCAATGAGCACTCTAGAGCACACACCCTTCCCAGTTGAGTACTTAAACACGCACGGCGACTTTTTAAACACGCACGGCGACTTAAGCCCCATTTGGAAGAGGACCCGCCACCAAAATTTGCCGCGCGCCTTCGGCTGCTGCAGCCGCCTGGAGCCGCCTACAGTAGCCCACCCGATCCTATCTGCATACATCACCAAGAAGCTCCTACCTAAATTTAGGAACTCGACAAGAAGCATGAAGCGAACGCCAGCTAGGCATTGAGGGGCCTCATCATGGAGACGCCGGCTGAGGCCGTGAATATGGTGGGGCGAAGCGCGTCGCCTGCGTCGACACCCGCGAAAAGATCGACACGCGTCGTGAGGCCAAGCACCAAAATTCGAGAAGCCGCGCGACAGCCCGACGATCTGGCGGAGAAGACAACACGCGCAACTAGGCTTGCAACGCGCATTGCCTCGGACGATGTCGCCATCAGTGACGCGACTGAGCGGCGCAAAGTTGCCAGCAGCAGCGGTGGCGCGAACGAAGGCCGAGCCATGCTCCAGAAAGTTCTCGAACTCTTGAGCGAGTCACGTCAAGAAACGCAAAAGCTCAGCCGAGCGATAGATGCGCAAAACGAGATCATATCAAGCAACAGCAGATGATCCAGGAAATGGATCAACAAGGGAAAGAGATGAGAGATGAGCTTCGTCACATCCGAGCGCAGTTAGAGACCCTGGCTACGCCCGCATCTTCTCTGCAGAGCAGTCCGCAGATGTCGTATGCGAGCGCTGCAGGGTCATCGCCGACGATCCAGACAATGAACCGGGGCACCGTACCAGCAGCTAAATCGGCACGAACAGCCGTCAGCGATAGTCTCTACTGTACGGTGGACACATCACGAGTCGAAGAAGCGAACAGGTGCCAGACGCAGATCGGCAACATCCGAAAGGCCATAGAGAGCGACATGAGAAAGAGTCAGAGGCAGGAGACTTGGAAATGCGCAGCGGTCGTGACAGACGCTCGAAACCCCGACCGGATCAAAATTTTATGCAGAGACCAAGCCGAGTTGAAGCAGGTCAAGGAAGCAGCGCAGAAGACGGTAACTTCGGGAGCCAGGGTACTGAGAGATCAGCTTTACCCTGTCAAAGTCGACAACACCAAGCGTACCGCAGTGCTGGACGCCGAAGGCAACGTTCTGCCGGGCGCAGCTGAGGCGCTCGGAGCCGAGAATTACGTCACGATTGCCAAGATCACCTGGCTTAGCAACAGAGAAAAGCCAAAGCGTACGGGTCAATGGTGATCTATGTCACTAAAGAGAGTGACGCGCAAAGACTTCTGGACGGCGTGTGGTTCGATGTTGCGGGAGAGTCCGCCTGCACCAATGTTTTGAACGCCGCGTAGGACCGATTCAGTGCTTCAACTGTCAAGAGATGGGACACAAGGCGTTTTCATGCAAGAAGCCGCAAAGATGTGGCAGATGCGCGAAAGCAGAACATCACCACAGAGAATGCAAGGAGACAGTGCCAAAGTGCGTGCCCTGTGGTGGACCACACGAATCGTACAGCCGGAACTGTCGGGCGCGGAACCCTGGGGATGAGACGCAGGCAGCGTCTGGCCCTTCGGGCTAAGCAGCGGAAGTGAGAATCCACTTAGGATCGATTATAGCACTAACCTTCAACAATACTAACACACAGGTATTCGACTTCGGATTTCGACAGACCGCGCTTCAGCTGCTGAAGGTAGGACGCTGAACACTTGGAGAAATTGGCCTTCAAGCAGGCCTGTCGCGGAGCGAGTAGCGGCGAGGTTGGTGTAGCGTATGCTGACCCGTGGGGCTTAAGGTGTTACGCATTAATGTATTGAAATGTCAGTAGCTTTTACGTCTAGGCCCTATAGGAGAAATCCTCCGGGTGAAATACACATACATACATACATACATACATCACCAACGCCGGAAAATGCGTTCCTTAGAGTCGTTCAATTGAATCTATCAACAAGCCCGGCCTGACTGATCTTCCGATGTGCACACAATAGCGGAAGGTGCGTTTTTTGGCCGCCTTTGCCTACAGCCCGTGAGATCAACGCTGTGACTGTGACTGTGTGTGCGGCGGAGGATCTGTCTGACGCGGCGGAGGGCGAGGCACGCAAGGAACGAACGCGTGACCGGCCTGCCCGCCAAAATTGTATGGTGCTGTGTCCCTTAGGTCCCCTGGCTGCCGGGCCTGCTCCCTGGCCGTCCCTTGCGACTGTGCCGGCGGCTGTGCCCACATGAAGCCGTCATGATGTGCCTGTGCCGAGGGAGGCGGCTCCTGCCACCGTGAGGGCGTAAGTGGCATCGTGTAGGCGTAGGATGCCGGCGCCGGCACCTGTATGTATACAGGCACGTGTGATACTGGCGGTGGCATCATATAGTATCCCTGTGAGGCCGGCGGCGCCTGTGGAAATGAGGGCATCGTCGTTTGGTATCCCTGGAAGGCCGGCGGCACTTGTGATAACGGCACCGGCGTTGCTGCTGCCTGTGACTTGATGAAGTCGTTGATCTGCTGGCCAAGATCATCAACCCGGCTGCTCACGGAAGCAAGTGTATTCGACCTTTTGGTCGCGACAGTGCCCGCGCCCTTTCTCTTCCTCTTTTGCGTCCCTATTGGCTGTGATCCGAGCTGTGCTGTAGCCTTGTGCTCCTCTTGCTCCCAGTTACTAAGGATCCTGCCCGTAGATGCCTCTAACGGAGGGAGCTCCTCGGGTCTGTTGTTTGCGCGCCGGCGCGGCGGGACAACGTTAGGATCGGGCTCGTGGTCTGCTTCGATGTACTGCCGTTGTTCAGGCTGCCAGCAAATTAGTATGAGCGCTATAGCTAGAGTGTGACACTTACTGTCATGCCGTGAATTAGCCAGTGGCTATCAATAAGATGTAAAGGGATCGCAGCGGCCTCGTCAGCCAGTATTAGATCACGGATTGTATGCCGGCAGGGCAGCCCCCATTGGTCTGTGAAGGCGCCTGTGCAAACCGATGGCCTCTGGCCGCTATTATCAGCCAGTTCGTCTCGTGCCAACTTGACTTGCTTGAGGATCTGATTCATCGGCTTCCAGCCTATTTTACGGTGCAACGACCTCATCATCGTATGCTTCCCCCATTCGACCTTCGCCCTTGTAAACTCGGTCTGAATCGACTCGCGATGGTTGGTCTGCCGTTCCGTAACTAGCTCTTTGATGTGCTCTTGCAGCTGATAGAGGTCGATAAAGCGGTTGCGTAACTGTGACTTTAACTCGTGATGAGTGCTCTCTACACGAGAAGTCACTGTAATGTCGTAGTTTCGGTGCCGTTGAATAGCGTATCGGCAAAACTGGGCACGCCACGGGTAGTAGGTCGTACGGAAGTAGTTGACGAGGGCTATAGCTGTTAATAATAATAGGGTAAATCAGTGCGAGGGTAATAGGGTCTGGGCTACCGTGCTGGTCAGAAAACTCTGTACAGAGAAGATCCACTGCTCGTTACACTCCTCGGGCGTGCGTGCCCTCATGACTGATACCCAGGCATCACGAATACCATCAGCCGTGTGCTTGAAGGACCGTTGGGGCGGCGGCGGCGCTGCCTCGTTGCCTTCACGATCCGGGTCTTCTCCTGACGAACTGGTCTGCTAGCTGAGAGGCGTGTTGTATCTGTGCCTCGGCGGCACGGTCGATCGGTCGTTCTGGTCGGTCTGCATCGTGACTTGTGGCAAGGGCAGCCTCGGCGGCGAGGCGGATGTCTTCGTCATCGCCTCCATCTCCCATAATCTCGGTACCATCGAGGGTGCCTACCCACTTCTTCTTGATGTGGAGGACCACGTTCTTCATGATGTGCCAAGTGCAGAGTTGTTGCTGTGACTGTGGAAAGATAGCGTTGAGGGCGTTCTTAAGAGCCTCGTCGAAGTCAGTAATTATAACGCCTGGATGAGGGATATCAGCTTGCTCAGCAGCGGTATGTAGCTGTGAGAGCATCCAACTAAAGGCACCCTCATCCTCCTTGGCGGCAAGACCAAACGCAACACTATAACTTTTGTGAAGTCCCGTAGTGCCAACGACCTGGAGGAGTGGCAGGTTGAAGCGGTTGACCTTGTACGTATTATCCATGATGAGAAGTTCAGGATTACGTTTCCAGTCAGCAATGCAGTCAGCGTATGTCCAGAATATCCTCCAGAGCTTGCCGTCAGGGCCACGGTTAACTGTAAAGTTGGCGACTTCCCCTCTAGTCTGGGCCTCGTTGAGTACGTCGATAAACGCTTGTGTAGATGTGCTGGCACCGTAACGGAAAAGACGAAGTTGTTGCTGGATGAAGGCTACGTCGGCAAAGTTGATGAGGACCTCAGGATAGTCTCGCTGGATCGTTTTCGCGATACCTTTGAGCGTATTGGCTGGGTTTTTGCTGTGGCCCTCAACAATCTCGTATAGCCTCTCGATACCAAATTTGCGTTGGCTGCGTTGACGGACGATAGAGGAAGCAGCAGGCGCAAAGAGAGGTTCGTGGGAGTGGGAGGCGGCCTTGAGAATGACTCTGTATGACTGTGTAGGTCGATAGAAGCGGATAGTACTATAAAAGTCACATCCTGACTTCCTCGTCGAAGTCTTGTACTTGCCCTCGTTTTCTCGCCAAGGTCTGTAACCGCCACTGTATTGGCAGCGGATCGTGCCCTCTTTGCGCTTGGCCTTGCCGGCAGTCTTGCTATTTGCAACAACTGCCACGTAACCGCGAGCAAGCTCATCATCCTTGAGGGCTTCAAGGGCCTCGGCATAAGTGCAAAAAACCCTATTCTCGATAGGCTCGGGTTCAGGGCTATAGGGCTCGGTCGGCTCGATCGTAGTCATCGTGGTGGCGGCGTTGTGGTTGTGTTGAAAAGAGCGGTAATGTGATGATAGCTTCAAATGCAATTGCAGGTGCTACCCGTGCCACGTCCCACTTTAATTTGGAACTCGCGAGCTACGGGTAGGAAAGGCGTGACGATTCACTCTCGGGCCACTGGCCAAAAGGCAAGCGAAAAGGGCGACGCGAGATGAATGCGTCGCCGAACCAGCAACGTTCCAACTTCCAAGCAAGATCAACCACGTTACGTTTGCTGCTCAACGGACACACTCGAGTCCGTCAGATTCCAGAAGGAGTTGGAAACTACTCGAAGCGCATCGATAAGGCTTTGCCGGGCAAGCACACCCGCAAGCTGTACGACGAGCTGAAAAGAAAGGAATCGGAAGTGTTGGTACAGCTTCGAACTGGCAAATCGCGGCTGAATAGCTATCTTTGCAAAATCGGGGCAGTAGAATCGGATGAATGCACGTGTGGACAGTCGGCGGAAACGGTGGAACATTTCCTCTTCCGATGCAGAAAATGGACGGTACAACGAGAAATCATGAGTCGATATGCAGGCGGGAAGATGGGAGACTTGTCCTTCTTCCTAGGTGGCAAGGCAGAGTCAGACGACGACAAGTGGCAGCCTGATATGGGGGCTGTGCGGGCGACAATACAGTTCGCATTGGCAACGAAACGTTTTAGCATGGACCGGCAACGGGCCATGTGCTGATCAAGGGACAATCGTACTAACACAACAGCCTTCAACTTGGCAGACCGCGCTTCAGTCGCTGAAGGTAGGACGCTGAACACTTGGAGAAACTGACCTTCAAGCAGGCCTGTCATGTCATAGCGAACGAGGCTGGAAACAGATGAAAAGAAGCGTGGGGCTTTGGGTGAGATGGAACAATGTACAGAAGGTAGACAGGCTAGCGTAGTGGCTCTATGGGGGAACCCTCCGGGCGTAATACAACCAAAAAAAAAAAAAAAAAGGCGTGACGAGGCAGGGGGCTAGGCCGGGCGCGGTAAAGAAAGCGCTCGTTGGGAAGGCGCGCGGCAAATTTTGGTGGCGGGTCCTCTTCCAAATGGGGCTTAAGTCGCCGTGCGTGTTTAAAAAGTCGCCGTGCGTGTTTAAGTACTCTTCCCAGTTTCTTGTCAGATCCGCAACAAGCATGACGCAACGATCATTACGGCTCTCGGCTAATATTCAACCTTCCTATTAAGGATAGGATGCTATATGATAAAAATGGGACTTTGGTATAATTAGAGATTTGCGCGAGTTCAAATAGCTGTACCAAGTACTTAGGTACGAACATATCCCTCCTAAACCCCATATAGGGAGGGCTCCAAATTGCGGTCTGGCAACATTTTTGCGCTTTCTTCGTAGGCTAGAATTCCAGCTCTCTACGAAGTACTTGGCCCGGACCAAATCTTCATATAGCTAGCTTGGAATCGGCAGGCCATGCATTCTGTAGCACTCCGTTCATGCATACATATGTATGCAGTCAGCATGTGCTGCAAAGTACATTCACGCAGTCAGCACGGGCATAGCAGTGCACCGTGGAGTGGGCAGAGACGACTTTGCCTTTGAAGGAGACTGTGGAACGTAAAAGGATACTTCTTACAGCGTAGACGCTGGCTAGTACTAATCTAGATATGTACGTACAAAGCACGGACGTATTGGTCTTTCAAATCCGACCACCACACTTGTTACAACGAATTTCAATCGAGAATCTCCCGCCCCGCATACTCTGTCTCGCCATCAGCTGCAAAGTGCGGGAATAAAACATCACCAACACCGCGAACGGACACCTAGGCGTCGGCATAAGCAATGATTTGCCCCTGCTGGTTCCTCAGCACCGCCGTTATCATTGCGTCTTTGCAGTCACTAGGGAACGGGGCCATGGCTGGACAGGGACAGAAGCCACTCACCTTGGCGTCTATTGGCGAAAAAGACTTCAACGCGCGTTCTCCCTTCACTCAAGACTTCAATGTCGTTGCAAACGATATCTTGGAGCAGTGGAAGGTCCCCGGCATGTCTATTGCCATCGTCGACGGTCATGACGTCTTTGCCAAGGTAGGCCCTTGGCAAAGTGATTGCTCTACCTAAACTGACCAATGATGCCAGGGTTTTGGACTTGCAACTCTTCCGGATACGCCATCGACGCCAGAAACGCTCTTCTACGTTGGGTCAACGACCAAGGCTCAAACTGCTGCTCTGATGGCACAGCTAATCGACTCTAAGGCTTATCCGGCCTTATCTCGGGGCTGGTCAACACCAATCTCGTCGATTCTTCGTGACGATTTTCTTCTGCAGGATGAATGGGCAACTAGTCATATTACTCTTGATGACGCTGCTAGCCACCGAACAGGCATGGCTGCCCACGATAACTCATGGCATCGCGAAATCAACGGCTCAAAGGCCTCTCTACAGGATATTGTCCGAGGCCTCCGTAACCTACCTTTAAGTGCAGAGCCTCGAACCACGTGGTACTACTGCAACTTGATGTACATCACGCTATCATATATTATTGAGGTTCTAACAAAACAGCGGCTTAAAGATGTGATGAAAGATTTTATCTGGGAGCCCCTTGGCATGGAATCAACCTATTTGAGCTTACAGGATGCAAAAGACTCGTCTCTTCCTCTTGCAGTAAGCTATACTTGGTGTCAAAAGGACCAAAGCTATAAGGAGCTACCTTACTTGGATCCCGAGCATATGAGCGGTGCTGGTGGTATTATATCTAATGTTATTGATTATGCACAGTGGCTTAAATGCCTTATCCACCAGACAAAGCCGTTCTCCCAGGCCGTTCATAAGGATATTAGGACACCTCGATTTATTGACAACGCCCGGCCTACCCTCGGAAGCGATGTGGACTTATATGGGCTTGCCTGGCAGCGCACTATAATTCACGGAAGAGTGGTGTATTGGCACTATGGATCTACTATAACCTTTGGAGCTCTTGTTTACTGGCTTCCGGATCTCAAGTTTGGGATCGTTGCGCTAGCAAATGGGGCCGAAACGTCGAATCAAGCCGAACTTGTCCTAGTAAGAAGACTCCTTGATGATAAGCTACGAATCCCATTTCACGACCGGCTAGATGTGAATCAAATGTCTGTTCTCCGGCCTATTATGTTGCTTATCACTAACATAAAAAATAGACTGAAAGAACATGCGAGGGATATGCAGTGTGATATTCAGAAGGCAGATGATATCCTCTTTCCGGAGAGACCAAAATACCCATATCCACCATCGGTCATCCTAAGCGAACTCACCGGCTTTTATTCCAACCTAGGATACGGGCGGTTCAACCTCGTCCAACAACAGCTCTCAGCCAATTCAGACCAGACCGTTCTGGTTGCTGACCGAACAGAGCTGTTATGGGCGCAGCAATGGCGCCTACGTCACGTATCTGGCAATTACTGGACCTTGTACAGCAAGATGCTGCTAGGTATCAACACAGTCACAAGATTTTATGCCGCAGAGTTCAAGATTGGCGTCAGTGGAAAGGTCACTGGTCTGGAGGTTTCTATGTACGACAGGTATGGAGGCGTCGATGAGGGCACGGTGCTGTTCCATAAAGTCGGGGGAAACACGGACGGTTGAGGGAATGGAGCATCACATGATTTGCTATGAGGTGCAAACAACATGTAACGAAGAGTGCTTACCCGGTCGGAGACCATCCCAATTGTCAAAGGACTAGGCACCGGAGGAGCGTCTTGCACTGCTCAGCAGCACTTCTCAAGGCACACAAGCGGCCATCACAGGCAGTAAGGAGGTGCCCTCGGTGGAGAGTCAGAGTATGCAGAGCGAATGGCGTGATAAGAGCCGGCATCGATGCTATTGAGCCTCACATCAGTTGAAAATCCCCGTATCGGGACTGACCTTGCATGCAAGCCCCATACTGCTAGCGCTTACCTCTATTCGCACCCCTCCCCTCGCATCCTCAGCCGTCTTCGCCACCGATTAAGGACTGGGTGCGGAGGAATGGGGGAGTTGCCGTTGGTCACTTTGCCAACTACCCGTTGGCTAGTGCCTTCGTATGCCAACTTGGGGCCCCTTCCCCTAAGTTGGCTAAAAAAGTCGTGGACATGCAGAAAACCCGTGGACAGCCGCGCACGGGCCCACTATCGTAAGCACCGCGTTTTTAGTGCATCTTCCCACCAAAACTCGCGACCGCATGATACTCATGACGTATTTCTACGTCGCCAACACGCAATGTATTCCCAAATCGCTATTGCAAGGGCTGTAAAGCTTGTTCTTGAGTCTCGCGAGAGCTTCGAAACAGGGAGCCGCCGCCAAACGCGCAAATCCGGGCAAGGGGCGGTCCAGAAGCCCGTATCAGTACGTCAGGCGGCAGCGATCTTTGGCGTGGCCAAGTCCACGGTCCAGAAAGGCATTGCACGGCGGCACGGAGACATTGGCCGCATTGGCCGGCCAAGACTGCTCTCTGACGACGAAGATGACGCTATCGCCGCCTATGTGATTTGGCTACAGCAAAGTGGCTTCCCAGCGAGTAAGGCGCATGTCGAGTCCGCCGCTTTATCGCTCCTTCAACGCCGCAACCCTGACGCCAAGCCGCCCTCTAGAGCGTGGTATTCTCAATGGCTTCAAGACCACCCAGAGCTCCGCGTCACATATATCAAGGCGGTTGAGAAGTCTAGGAAGACGTTTGAAGCTGGCGATATCTCCAATGTTAAGAGGTTCTTCGAGAAGCTTACTGATATCATCACAACACACGGTATTAGTCCCTCAGAGATTTGGAACGAAGACGAATGCGGTATCCGTATTGGCAGCCTCCGGGAACGAGTTCACGTTATAGTCGTACGTACGACGCGTCATCAACGGCCTCAAATCTCCGATCCAGGGAATCGCGAGTCTTGCACGCTTGTTGCCGCTGCCAACGCCGTTGGGGATACGATTCCCCCTTGGCTAGTCTTTCACACGTTCCCCTGCGAGTCTTGGGGCCAAATTGATGCTCCTGGCGATGTACGTTTTGCACGGTCAGACACAGGCTTCAGCAATAGCGAGATAACGCTCGATTGGATCCATCAATTCAATGTGTGGTCTTGGAAGCACTCAGCCCGCGCACAACGTACAGGGAAGACCCTTTCTGAGTGGTTTGGCGTTGACGAGTGGAGCAGAGAGCTAGAATACCCATTCCAAGAGGTCAACCCGCGGGTAATACCAGAGGACGAGCGAATCCACCGGCTTCTTATTATCGACGGCTTCACGGGCCATACAGGCATCGATTTTATACAATATTGTATCAAATTCGATATCGTGCTAGCTATCTTCCCGCCACATTCAACGCATATCCTCCAGCCGCTTGACGTAGGCGTTTTTCAGCCTCTTAAGCACGCACAACAAAAGGCTATTCGTAACTTCATTGACAAAGGCGACCTTAACTTCACAAGGCTCGACTTCCTCGAATCTTTCTGGGAGACATTCTCCGAAGGCTTCTCTCGCGGCTATGTTATGTCAGGGTTTGAGAAAACAGGCATCTTCCCACCAACGCACGAACCTGCCGTTAAGCGTATCGTCGAGGAACAACTCAAGCTTCGTCAAGCCGTCAACCCAGCCTATGCCTCTCTTCTCCCAAAGGAAACGCGATTCGAGCAGGCTGTAGACACGGTACGGCATATTAAACATCGCTATAACGACCTCCTCAGTTCTCCAACGCGCAACGGGCTTTCTAATGTCACTCGGACGGTGACAGAGGCATCTCTGCTAGCTTTAAACCTCGCCAAACAGTATCAAGACCGCCTACAACGTATCGAGAAGATGAGCAACCGACTCAAGCGAGGCAAGACCGTCAAGGCTTCTGAGGGCACATTCTACACCAGCGTGAGCCTTGAAGATATTCGCAAGGCTGCCGAGCGCACGCAACAGCTTGAAGCAGAGAAATCTCAACGCCAACAGCTTCTCTCTATCCGTGATATGATTCGTAAGGAAAAGAAGCAGCTGCTTGATGAATACCGCAAAAACAAGCGGCAGGTAATCAACGGCAAGGAGAAGACGCTTAATATTAAACAGTGGCTCGACTTCAAAGGGAAGAGTGAAGAATTCCTTGCCCTTGAGAGTGGCGAAGAGACCTATAGGCGACTCCTTAAGCGGCCTGACCCGTTTTTCATTGATACAACCCGCCGGGAGATTGGCGAGGCCGAACGAGAGGCTGCCAATAAAGCTTGTGCCTCTGCGAGACCACTGCGGACCATGCAGTGGCCTCATCTCCAGAGAGAGCGCTCTGTTGAGATTATCACGTCGCGAAATACCGATCATCACGAGCCTCATAACGGCCCTGACGGCACTACGATCAATCCTTTACTCAATATAGATTTGATGAAGGAAATCGATGAGGAAATAGACCGTGCTTTAAGTTCATCGCCGCCGTCATCGCCGCCAGCAAGTCCAACACCACGAATTCCTGCCTAGAAGAGACTTGAGGGCATTATCTCTGACTGCCGGGCTGCTCAGCAATCGAATTCGGCTCAAGAAGATATATAAAGTAGCTATATTCCGAAGGGGTAAGGATAGGGAGGCAGAAACGGTGTATACGTCGGGACATTTAATTCAACATTTTTAGTGCAGCCTCAACGCCGCGCACACCGCACCACGCACTCAAATTTACATTTTCAATGGCTTCCAGTAATAAATAAAATCATGCGCTCATTTTATATGTCTTAAAAATGTGATGCGACATGCGTGGAATGGTGTAGGTCATTTTCACATACAAACGTCACCAAAAGGCTGTCCACGGGTTTTCTGCATGTCCACGACTTTTTTAGCCAACTTAGGGGAAGGGGCCCCAAGTTGGCATACGAAGGCACTAGCCAACGGGTAGTTAGCAAAAGACATGAGCATAGGAGGTGGCGTTATGGTATGGAGCATCTCTGTCGGTAGTGGTGCAGACATACTTTGCCAGTCAGACAGGCGTTGCTCTCGTTCTCGTCCGTGGTTCGGGCCTGTGTTCAACGTCGCATCCGGAGTCAGGGATTCTACGATAACGTCCATGCGCTGTTCCACGGACGCTGGAGACCTTTTGGCACCCCACATCAACCCGAAGCACCTGATATTCAACTCACATTTGATTGTGCGTTTTTGGCCCAATCCGCTTGCATCTGTTCCCCGAGTCCACAGGATTATTTTTGACCTGTGTGTCGCGACAGAGGAACTTTCAATACCAACTAATGACTGGCCCGTCCGGTCGTGAACCAGCCCCTTGTGTCTCTGCGAACATGCATACATGTTCTTAGGCGCTGGGCCCGATCACAATAGAATCCTTCGTCGATGGAGCATGAGCTCCTTCTAGGCGACCATTATTAAAGACGTCGGTCTCAGGAATATCCCAACAATATGGGTTATCTCCGACTCTTTGCTTTTGCGGGGAGCAATGCAACCCCTACAATAACATGGTCAGCGGAACAAAAGGCCCGACTGCAATTACCCCCTTACCAAGGCATGGCCTCCTAAACTAAGGGGTGCACAGGCGACGCGAGCCAAGTAGATTGACCCACAAATGCACCCAAATAAAGGGCCTGACCAGGTATCTAGACGGGTATAAATAATAAAGGGAACCCGTCGAAGCCAGAAAACCACTGCGCCATGCAAAATAGGGGCACCCCCATTAGGGGGCTACTTTATTGGCTATTATAGGTCCATTCTCCGTCTGACGGAACTTTATGTCCCAGTAGCTAGGCCGTGACGTGCATCACTATTCGCACCTCTTTTATGTCTCTTTTGCGACTTCTGGGCGCCCAATCATGCCGCTGAGATCCACATATGTGCGTTACCAGGGGTAGAGTGGATCGGTAAGCTGAGTTCCAATGTTGCTAGTTATTCGATGAAATATCACGCCGCAATGGAGATGCTCCTCTCTAATTCGGCCGGCCCCGGCGTATAAGACGCAGTAAGGAACTCATACAGTCAAACTTGAAGAAGCCCAAGTCGTTGCCAAACCCCTTGTTCGTGAACTTTGACGCGACCGTTCTTTCAAAGCACAAGCTAGAAATGCTTCAAACCTCAACCCCTATGGAAGCCTGCGGAGAGACCAGCAGCAAAGAAACCCCATCCCTCGCAAAAGTTGCCCAGCTGCTCCATGTCGCCCCTGAGGAAATCAATGACATCTACAAGTGCACACCTTTGCAGGAGGCGCTGGTATCTCTGACCACCAAGGGATCCGAAGCCTACGTGAAGCGTGTGGTGCTCTCCTTGAATGTCAGATCGGACCTAGCAAGGCTCCGCTCGGCAGTCGACGATGTCGTCAAGGCTACTCCGCTTCTGCGCACGCGAATTGTCCACTTGGATGAACTCGGGTTTATGCAAGTTGTCCTCGCGAAGAAGGTGGAATGGTCTGAAGCAACCTCTGTCGACGATTGTTTGAAAGAGACCAAACTGAACGCATGGGGAATCGGCGACCCTTTGGTGCGCTATACGCTAGTCAAAGACGATCAAAGCAATGCCCGCTATTTTGTTTGGACGATTCATCACGCGTTGTATGACGGCTGGTCGTTTCCTCTCATGGTTAACCAAGTTTGTCAGCGCTATGACGGATTTGACGTCGAGCCAGCTCCCGAGTACAAACACTTCGTTCAACACATAGCTCAGAAAAACCAAAATGAGGCCAAGGAATACTGGAAATCTGTTCTATCAGGGACTCAGTCCACGACGTTTCCCGCACTTCCAGATATCTCATACGCACCGGCGGCTGATACAACAGTGGAGTATTGTTGTCCTCCAGTGCCCAGAGTCAAAGGCATCACGAGGACAGCACTTTTGCGCGGCGCATGGGCTCTCATTATGAATCGATTCCATGACTCGGAAGATGCAGTTTTCGGCACCATCGTTTCGGGCCGGCGGGAGACTTTCGTAGGCATCCAAAGCTTGATGGGTCCCACGGTTGCAACCATTCCTGTCCGCGTCAGGGTCGACGGCGGCGAGAGAGTTGACAATTAAGGCAAAGCTAATGCGAATGACCCATCAATCTGCCTTCCACCGCATATTTCTCGCGTCACTCATGCTGTCTATCAAGATCCTGGAGGATGGTCCACCAATGAACCGGCACTGGACCAAGAGCACGTTGGTACAGTTCAGCCTCGATGATGTCAATTTGATGGAGAGAGAACTTCTCTTTGTTCTCGATTTGAACCTTATGATCAGCGAGCACGAGTTGTGGGCAGAGCTGCAGCCGTTTCTTGTCTCTGATCGAAACGAAATCTCCTCAACACAAGAGACAAAGGCGACAAGGAAGTCCGGAAAACAGAGGGTGACCCAAAACCAGGATTTTAGTGTCGCTACCATGTCGCTGCTCAGCAGCGTCCTCCAGGTCTCAACCGAGCGGCCCGGTCCCTGCCTGCACGTATACCAATGTGTATGCCAATGCGCCTTGCAGTCTGCGATTAGCTGGATGGATACCACTGGCCCTGAGATAGCAGCCAAAGGTAAAAAGACACGCAGAAGGCGCGATAGAGGCGGGCGAATCCATGGCAAAGACTGTCCTGTGCCACGCCAACGGATCCCGCCACAGAGGCGTGGTTTGCTTAGTCCAGCTCGGATAACCGACGGACGGGATACGTCTGAGTGGCGGAATGTGTACGCTCAGAGGTCGTGGAGCTTGACGTGTCAAGTTTATAGAGCCTCGTATGCCGCCGTGGAGCGGGGACATCGCAGATAATGTCGAAGAGTTAGGGGGCTGCGTCACGGCGGCGATTTGATATCCTGCATCTATGAAATAAAAGCACAAACGCTAGCTAGTCGAAACCTGCAATACTTACCTCCTTCTCTCAAGTGCCATGCCACTGTGGGTTTGTAACGTCCTCGACAGCTGCCTCCGGATCTTCGTGCCCCTTTCACTCCCCCCGAAGGTGCTAGACTGAACTAACAATCCCCGTCACAGAGGACCGATGAGAGTCACTATAGATAGATTGAAGGCCTTGAGCGTGACATAGTACGCCTTGAGTCCTGCCTACATTGTGTACATGGTGCGGACTGCTACGTCTGAGTCTCCCTGAATCAGGAATCACCTTAACACTACCGCTCTATTTAGCCTGCGGGCGTCAATGTTAGTGACTGCTGCTGGCGTGGATAGACGTAACGAACCTTGGGCCTGACGCATCTCCGTAGAGAGGATGGAGGGCAGCAAGGGCGTTTGCGCGGGCCCGAAGTTGGCCCTGCGTATCTCGCTCGAGGCGTAGTGAAGGCCCTGCCCGGCCCTGAGGAAAACTGGCGGAAACCGCAGGGTTCGCGTGAGATCTATGAGCGATAAAACGAGAGCCCTGGGATCCCGCGCGGGTAGACCGGGGACAGTTTGACGGCGGCCGTGGAGGAATCGCACTGACTTGCTGGAGATAGAACATGGCGGACGTGGGCCAGGCAGAAACGGTCAGCGAGAGTTAAGCAGCAAAGGCAGACAGAACGTGAAATAGCGCATCTCCCTTTCTCCCTGCTCTGTCGTCTTTTATACAGTTGCCATCGTCCCGACGGTACGGTTCAGAAGGATGATGACCTTCACTTGATAGCGAGCCATGCAGACGCTCCTGTTCACACCCCCCTGCCACAGTACCCCCACTGTGAGAGTCGACTGTCTCGATGACAAACCACGAGAGACTCGGAGGTCGTGTGCCGCTACGATTCTCGGTGGGTGACACTGAGGAAGTGTGCGGACGTGTGTCAGCTTGCTTGCAGCTGCGGAATACGTGCCGTTTACATAGCTTGAGTTTCCGCTCCAGCAAGCTCTGGCTTGCTTTGCGTTTGCAATAGCTACAAGTAGGGCCAAGGCGAGAGACAATGGGACGGACGGAGCATGCTGACCGGGCCGCAACCCTGCCACGCTCCGGGGTAGCTCATTGACCTCAGCAGTCTGATCGAGACCCGCTGCCTGCAGGCCCCACCGTTCGCGCAAACCAAACCAACCATATCCGGGATAGGACCGGAGAAGTTTTATGAGCGTTCTATTTCTAGCTCCTCTGTTCGATTCATGACTTGCCGTGACGGCCGGGCCGCGAGCAAGCGCGCGTCGAGCGAACGTCCACATGCCCCATACCTCCGCACCGGCAACGCGCGGAGCCGATCTCGCCAATCGGCCTTAAGAGGAGCACGTATAACCGGCCGTTTGATTACCAGCCGAGTCGCGCCTGACAGAGCTCGGGAAGGGCGCGCGCTTTCCGTGCCGCGCGCCGACGCATGCTGACGGACGAGCAGCAATCTGACGCCGCCTTGTCGGACGCCAGAGCCGTGAGCGAACAGCGCAGACCATGAGCGACTCCTCTCCTGGACTTGCCCCTTCTGCTCGCTTGCATCTCGGCAGGGGGCTGTATAGCGATCGTGATTCCATGGCAGCCCATGGTGCCGTGCCGCCCGGTCCAGAGTCGACGGGCGTCGCCAAAATCGACACCGGCCCCGCCTTCCGTCTTCCATAGCAGGACAGGAACAAACGGCCCCGGCTTGACCGTCCCATCACAAGCCGTTGCAGCCTTCACCGTCAGCGACCTTGGCCAGATGCTTACGGGCGCCCAATGGAGCCTGCCGGTTGCTTGGCCGGAGATTGCCTCATTGGACGCCTGCAGGGGTCCTGGAGCGACTGACCATGCACCATGCCGGCTGCAGGACCACGGCGCCATCATACGATGTGTGCCTCGGAGAACGACGGGCGCCGCGGAGGCGCGCTCGAAGACGGGCACGTAAGCGACGTCGACACCGCGAAAGCAAGGGTCAGGACCCCCGCATCCAAGGCTCTTCACTTAGTGCTGAGCGCCGACGAAGGCCGATAAAATTCTGCGCACTGCACCAACACAGTTATTGGATACCGACACGCTGGAACGCCAAAATGGCCAAGTGGGATGGACAGTTTGGCGCCCTCCGTCTGGGCGCCACTGCGCACCGCCCCTTGTGACAATAGCCTGCCATTTGTGACACACCACTCGTCGCTGTCCATCAGCCTTCGAACTGACGCAGCATATAACCATTGATGGAGAAGAAGACATGTAGTTGGAATAAGCTCGCCCAGCGCTGCAGACCACGGTCGCGTGGCGGATCTGCCGAACTAGCTTGGATCTGTACGATCATGCGGGACCGGACCGTGGCGTGGCCGTGACCGACCTGGCGCGGCGCGGCGCCTCCATGGCGGGTGGTGTGACGCATCGGTCCAGTCGAGCCATCCCATCCCCTCTACTAGAGCCAGTGTTCGTTGCATCTGTTTGGCAGGCGCGCATATGAGGTGGATCAGCTGCTGGCGCCGCGCCAGCCCCCTGTCTGGGGGATGGCGATGCCATTGCCTGGGAAGTGGAACAGGGCGCTCGATCTGGCCACTGTGGGCCGGCACGGACATTCTGTCCCAGAACTCTGCCCCCCCTCCCCCTCTACGCTATTGCAAGCTGCAGCCAAAAACGGACGGTGGGGGGAAGGGGCGCCGGGGCAAGCCGGTGATGATGATGATGATGATGTTTTATTCCGCCCGGAGAGATCATTCTCTATAGGGCTCCGACGCTTGTACTATGAATCATTTCCATACGCTGTCGCATGACACCCAAAGCCTCACAGATTGCCGCATACAATTCTATCTTGCCACTGTTCCTTATGACATTTCTCCATTGATACCTTTGCCGGTCGTTCTTATACTTAACGCTGCCCCCTGTTGACGAGCGGGAAGCCCGGGTGTGCCTGGTTGGTCCAGGGTGCCTCCAGCCGGCTTCGAACCGGCCCCTCTGCAATGCAAAGGCTCCAGACGTGTCACCATTACGCCATGGAGGCCAAGCCGGTGATGCGCGTCGCAGAACGACCTGTCAGAACAACGGGAGCAGGGGTCACGTGCGATAGGGAGATAAGAAGATGACTCATTGCAAGAGAGCCCGAGAGACCCCAAAAAGGGGCCCCTGAATGGGACACACAGAGACACACACACAATACACATATCTCGGCGGGCCATATAGGCCTGCCTTCCCTGATTCAATTGATCCACTGCATCACAGCCGTGTCTTTCCTATTCTGGGATCACCTAGAACCTCCAGTTCTGACACGACCTCGCAGGAGCCACTCGCACATGCAATGCAACGTGAGGCCTTGTCCGTCGCCGCGGGGTCAGGGGGGGGGGGCGCGCCGCCGAAGTGGGGCAGAAACCGATCCTACGTATTTCGCCGTCTGAAAGATCACTACTAACCTGGACCAAGAATCTCAACCCGTTCCGAATGCATTGCGCCCAAGCGCCTCGCTGATCTCCTCTTTCAGCTCAGCAACTGAACTCGGGGTGGAGCTCAACATATGCAGGCACTTGCAAAGCAAGATTTCAACGCCAATAGCCCGCTCCGTTGTCCCCTTGCGTTCCTCATTAAGCCGCGCACACTCCACACGCGCCGTCTCGAGCTCCCGCTCCAATAGCCTCTTCCCGGCCTCTACCGCGTCTAGGCATTCCTGCAGCTGCGTGACCCTCTGTACCAGCACCACCGACTCGTCGCCGCACCTGCCCGCTTCGTTTGTCTCGGGCGTTTCCGCGGAGCATGGCCCGTAACGTTGCCGCCGCCGCGACATCCCGTGTGGCTCTGCGCAAGGGTCTTCACATGGAGTAGCGGCGCCTGCATGGGCTACGAACGGTGACAAGGCGGCCTCGAAAGTGACACCCACGCCAGCGCAGAGCTCATGGTACGCCGCGGCGTTGTGCTCGCTTAAGTTCTTGGAAAAGAGGTGCGCCGCCTCGGGGCGAAAGGACCACGAGTACCACTCATTGTCCGTATGTGCCAATCGGACCTTGGCTGGCTCTATGACCCGCCCCGTCGTCTGCTCTGCACCTAGTCAGCAATAGAAGTTGTGCGCTACCCAGGGCGTGGCCCCTTACTGATGTGCTCGGCGAGCAGCTGCCGGCAGCGCCGTCTGAGCTGTCCCCTGTCGTCGACGCTTCGTTTCTTCGAACTAGAGCTCCGCGTGGTGCTCACCATGACGTCCGTGGTTGGTCACTGGCGGCATTG